ATTTTGTGCCTCTAAGGACATCATGAAAACAAGGGGGGAAAAGCACTATAAAGGCTACAAAACAGATCAAGTGTAAGGAGAAAGTCACAAGACCATATACTATACCATTCAGTTTGTCTGAAATGTCCAGAATAAACAAATCCAAATTCATAGAAAGTATATTTGTGTTTGCCTACATTAGAGCCTTGGGGAGGGAAATAGAAAATGACAGCTAATGGGCATATGGTTTCATTTTAGGGTGATAAAAATGTTTTAACACTGATTATGGTAAAGGCCATAAGTACAATAAAAACCACTGAATTGTACACTTTTTATTTTGTTTTGCAGTGCTACAGAATGGAACCAAGGGCCCTGTGAATGTTAGGCAAGCACTCTGACACTGAGGTACAATCCCAGCCCTGAATTGTATACTTGAAATGGGCTAATTTTATCTTTCCTGTTTTGCTTAACTGCTGGTAAATTCTTTTACTGCTCATGTCATTGGCCTTACATATGCCATCTGGCTTGGCATATGTCAAAACTTTCTTTAAAGTTAGAAGATTACATTCCAACATGTTTAGGGTTTTAAAAATCTCAATAAAAAATAATTTCATATGAATGTTAGTGATAAATTGATTATTCCGCAAATTATCACTTCCTGCCTATAACTATATCCCATTACTAATGTGGAACTTTGTCTGAGCCATTTGCTAAGCCAAAAGGAATGCTAGTGGACATGTGAACAAATGCCTGGAATGTTTTTTGTGCTCATAACTTGACTCCTGTAGGCCAGTGACCCAGCAAGTGAAGAGTCTGTCTCAGAAGCATCTGTCCTTTCAGCTGCATCAAAGAATGAACACACGCAGGAGACACGGTCTGCCTCACAGCCTAAACCATCCTCATCCAGTTTATAACCTAAAGCAGATCTGCTCTCATAGTTAACCTGTGGATCCCAGGCATGAAAACAAATGCTCATTATTCTTCCCCTAAAAGAAGCTGAAAAGACATCTGATGGACACATTATTAATTACTTGGAAAAAAAATGCAAGATACTAGATTAAGGAGAGTCTAGCTATTTTTACTGGCTAACAAAAAGTTGTGGAATCTGACATTATGGGTTCAAATCTTGGCTTCAGAATCTACTGTGTAACCTTGACAAGTAAACAGACCTGACTCTCTTTTCTCACCTGTAAAGTGACAAAAGATTGAAGTGACAACTACATGAAACAAAAAAAGCAAAGCACCCAGAACAGACCTTGCCCCCAATAATCATTCAATGAAGATTTCAGAAATACAAAATCCCTCTGGAAAGTAAACTGTAAAGATGGGGAAAAAAACCCAAACAAACAGAAAAACATTTTATAATTAGCTCTAGCATATTAGCAAAATACCACCTTTATAACTAATTCTAGTTAAATTAGCACAAATCTCATACAAGCAACCACAAAGACTGTACCCCTGAGAAATACAGGTTAATTTTTGACTGTAAGGGCTTCATCATTGAGTAGTTTCTAAATATGTTAACATAATATGCATATATCAAAATTCTGTATTAAAGAACAGAAGAAATTAACCTTAAAACATCAATTCACAATTTTTATCATTTTTACTCCTCTTCCTACTAAATAGAACCAAAAAAAGACTAATATACTACAGAGCCTAGCAAGAAACATTAAGGTTTCCAAAGACTTTGATGGTACCAGAGCACATTCCTCTCTTCATTTTTAAGAAACCTAACAGCAGATTTTTTACAAAATAAAATTTATAGTATAGCATAAAGGCAATTTTCAAGTTAGATACATACACACCAACTGGCAACCTTTTGCAAGTATCTCTTTTTAGTTAAAATTATGTAAGCATTAAATAAATGTCTCTTTTAAAAATGGAGAGTATGGCACAGAATATCTTTCCATAAATTTTCTAGCTATACTGCACATTTTATTTTACAAATGTATTCTGGACTTGTCTATAAAAAGCCTTGTCTAATTCTAAGAAAAATTATTTTAAAAAAATTTTTGGTAGTACTGGGGATTGAACCCAGAGCCTCAAACATGCTAGGCAAGGGATACCACTGAGCTACATCCCCATTCCACAATGCCCTCTCATTTTTTGGTACCAGGGTTTGATCTCAGGACTTTGTGCTTGTGAGGCAGGTGTGGTGCCACTAAGCTAAATCCCCAGTTCCACCCCCATTTTTTGACATGGTGTCTTGCTGTTTCCCAGGCTGGCTTCTAGAACTTAAGAGTCTTCCTGTCTCAGCCTCTAAGTAGCTAGGATTACAAGCATGTATTTGTTGATTAAAAAGGGGGGGTATTAAAAATTATATTCATATTCTCTTAGGTCTCAATAATACTTTAAAGATTTTGGGTGCTAAGTGTAGTGTTTTCTATTTGCAATCCCTGCTAGTTGGGAAACTGAATCCAGAAGGATCAAAGGAGGCCAGCAGGTGTAATGTCCTGAGTTTGAATCCTAGTACAAAAAAAAAACTTCCAAAAAAACAAAAGTTTGAGGCCAGCCTAGACAACTTAGAAAGACCTTGTCTCATTTTTAAAAGGGCTAAAGATGCAACTCAGCTAGAGCACTTGTCCAGCATATGTGAGGCCATGAGTTCAATCCCTAGTATGCCTCCACCCCCAGTATAACACATCAGAATTCCCATCTTTTTTATGAGTTTCGTTAACACTCTAAGCATCTTTCTTTCACTGTATTTCTGAGCTGGCTATGGTTTATAAGGAATGCTACTGATTTCTGTATGTTAACTTTGTGTATAGTACTTACAGTTAACTTGCTGTAAACATACATACTGCATTCTCCTATTATCTAATTTGGCATGCACTTTTTTTTTTTTTAGGCACTGAGAACTGAATTTGGGGTTTTCACACTAAACTACATCTCCACTCATTTTTATTTTGAGACATAGTCTCACTAAGTTGCCCAGGCTGGGTTTAAAAGTTATCTAATTTGGCATGCACTTTTTTTTTTTTTTAGGCACTGAGAACTGAATTTACGGTTTTCACACTAAGCTACATCTCCACTCATTTTTATTTTGAGACATAGTCTCACTAAGTTGCCCAGGCTGGGTTTAAACTTGCACCCTCCTGCCTTGGCCTTCCAGAGTGCTAGAAATGCAGGCATGAGCTACCACACCCAGTTTAACTTCCCAATTTTTACTTATTTAAATCCCTAGGGGGCTGGGGATTTAGCTCAGTGGTTCTACCACCTGCCTCAAAAGTGCAAGGACCCAAGTTCAATCTCTGGTCCAAAAAAACAAAAATTTAAATTTAAAAATAAAATCTTTAGGCATCCTTTGGTGTGAGAAACTGAATGTGGAAATAAGGACTGAGATGTATAATGGATGTTGGGAAATGGGAAGAAAGTGTTCAAATGGGAAGAGGAATAAGGGAGAAAGAAAGGAAGGGACAAGAAAAAAGTGAACAGAAGAAAAAAATGGAAACAAAATTTTTGTACATAGGGAGGGGAGAGGGCTTGAGGGGGGAAATGGGATAAAATAAAATTTACTAACAAAAAAAAAATCCCTAGGTATATAAAATTATACTAAATAAATATAGTAGTATTGGTAATTTGGTCATGTTTCTTGACTTTAGTAGGAAGATGTTTAATTTTTATCTGGGAACATGGTATACACACACACACACACACACACGAGTTATGTATATGTGTTAACATACAATTTTTTATTTTATATAAAAATTAACATTTTCATAACCAAATAATAAGAGAATAACAATAGTTATTATACTGTTACTCGGTACAAGACATAAGCCAAATAGATTCTTACAAACAAGAAACAGTATCACAAACTTTCTTTTCAATGAAGATAAACTTTTAGATAAATTAAACTATATATATATATATATATATATATAGAGAGAGAGAGAGAGAGAGAGAGCAAAGCTTTAAAAGGAAACCATCTATGTAACAGAATAAAAGAAGAATTATCTTTGGAACTCATGAAAGAAGACTATGAAACATTGTTCTCTATTATGACTGAATTATCTTATTATACATACTTATTTATCATATGTTAAATGTAACTATCCTAATTCAAGTGTCAATGCAAAAAAAGACGAGTAACATAAGTGACAGATTGGGAAGACAAATTTACATAAATCCCAACAATGAAGTAGGCATCCTTGCAATTCCCTAATTTTGAGTAGAAAAAGGAATAATAAAATAGACAATAGCAATAGGCAACTGGCAAAATTTGCAGTTCTTTTCCCTTGGGTACAATCTCACAGGGTACAGACCCTACAGTCAGACTGTATGGGTTTGAATTCTGAGTTTATTACATATTGGTAGAATTATATAAGTTTCTTACCCTTTGTGTTTCACTTCCTACACCCATAAAAATTAAAGTGTATTTCACAGACTTTTGACAATGGTTAAATAAATTATGTAAAGTTCATAGCACATTATATCTGCTATGTAGTAAGTGCTCATAAAGCTATTATACTTGTACATGACTTTCTAACTGATGTATAATCTACTCATACAAATAAGAGCCGTTATGGAATATACTTACATCCATATTCTGGAAGGTGTGAGACTACAAGGACTCAAATACAAGCAGCCCATTTCTACTTGATAGTCCAAACTGAAGTAGTTGGCTCTGGTATATGAATGTAAATGCATAAATTTTATGATGGCTAAGAGTATCCAAGCTGAAGATAAGAATTCCTTTAACACATTTTATAGCTTTTTTAGGAACTCAGGCCTTTGTGCTTGAGAGGCAGGCGCTGGAACCATTGAGCTACCTCCCTGGCCCATCACTGACTTTTTCTTTTCTTTTCATTTTTGTTTTTTGAGACAAAGTCTTGCTATTCAGGCTGGCCTTGAACTTTTAGCAATTCTTCTGCCTCAGCTTCCCAACTTATGGGATTACAGGCGTGCACCACCACGCCTGGCTGAGTTTTCCCAACTTATTGGTAGGTTACAGCAATCTACTACAACTAAACTGTAAAATAATGCAGGACACAGGTAAATATTTAATATATACATACAAGAAATCTGGCTATATTCTCGTCTTCTTGAGAAAGAGCAGAGTCCCGAAAACACCAAGCTAAGGGAAGAAAAACAGAACAGATTTGCTTCAGAGTTTCAGACAAACGAATATGGCAATTTTAAGACCCTCTATTGAACAATGTTCCTCAAGACTATGGAGAACTGTTGAATACCATCAAGCTGTAGAAAAACTGAAATGTATGTGGATGACTTCTTCAATCATATGGGGTTCTGATAATGATTTCTGGAGAGTATAGTGTGTCCAAAATCTACTGGCAATACCGTATTTCTCTAGAATCTTGCTATCTACCCACAATAAGAACCTTAAATGCATAATAAATCCCACACAGATTTAAGATGATCTTTAAGTTGTCTTTTTTATCATAAAGAATTTGGGAGGAGTACCTTAATCAGAGAGTGGCTATAAGCAATTGTGGAACATTTATATAAGTGACTGTAATGCAATCATGATTCTCATGTCACTTTATAGTAACTAATTTTTTTTAACCCTACAGGCCCTCCTACTTACAAACGGAAGACTAAATATTTGCACTCATTGATTTCTCTCCCAAACCAAAATAAACATTAATAAAGGAAGATAAACTCATAATGACAAAGAAAACAGAACACTTCAACCGTTAAGAGATGGAATGAAATTTTGGAAGCTAGAGAGCAGAGATGAGTAATGTCTAATTTAATCAGAGAAATCTCAAGGTTAAAAAAGGGTTGGAGGGAGAGTAGGAAAGCCATAGCAGTACCCTAGAGGGAAATGGAGGTTTCTGCAAATAGGAGTTAGTGAATAGGGCAGAAAAAGAGGGAACTAAATGTAGAATGTTACAAAAAGACATTAAGGGGCTGGGGATTTAGGTCAGTAGTTTCACCACCTGCCTCACAAGCACAAGGTCCCGAGTTCAATCCCCAGTACAAAATAAAAAAAGACATTAAGGGCCGTGGATATAGCTAAGTGGTACAGTGTTTGCATAGCACGTATGAAACCCTAGGTTCAATCCCCAATACTGCAAAATAAAATAAAATGGCACTGAAACCAACAGATGTCTTCTTTTTCTCACATAATACAGTGACATTTACCTCACACTAGAAAAATGTGATTTTTTTTTTTTTTTGATGAAGGGGGCTATTTTTAATGAGGTTCTGGATTTCAGGTTTACCAGGTCCAGATAAAGGTAGCTGAAGCAATGTAGGTAAAAAAGAAGTGAAATGTTGTAAGAGGATCATATACTCAAAAAAGTGTGTGTGTGTGTGTGTGTGTGTGTGTGTGTGTGTGTGCGCGCGCGTGTGTGTGTGCATGTGTTTCATGAAGGATAATACATAAGCTGAGGAAAAAGAGGCAGTGAAGTGGAAAATGTTCAAAATACAGGACTGCGAGTAACTTCAGAGGTATAAACTTTTTCTGCCCTATTCAAGAGCAGAGAACCAGTAACACTGTAAGATGGTAAAGAGCAACTCATTTTCTAAAACTATCAAAAAATATGTAAAGCTATAAATATCAGAACATTTCCTTCTTTTGTTTGCCTCAAAAAAAAGCCAGCAGTTCCTGCTTACATTCCTCAATGACAAAGTACTTCTTCCCCTAAAAACTGAGGAGTCCAAAGGAAATGCCTATAGATACTAAAATTTGATTAGAAAGGACAAAGAGATGAATATGTCCAGGGAAGGTGAAAGACAGCTACATCTTTATGTACACTGCCAAAATAGTTGTATGTGGATGATAACCAGAAAAATGTAGATGAATATCCAAATAAAAATGTTCAAAGTGGTTGTCTCAGGGCAATGGGAAGGAGGATCAGGATGGACAGAATTAAGAAACTTCTGTTTATACTTGTATAACAGCATTTAAGAAAATACATTTCAATATATCCTCAAAGAAAAACAGACATTACTTTAAAATATTTATTATAAGCCAGGCATGGTGGCATCCACCTACAACCCCCTCATTTTGAAGGATAAAGCAAGATATCACAAGTCCAAACTTGCTTGGACTACACAGTGAGTTAGAAGTCAGCCTGGTAAATATCAAGACCCTGTTCTCAAACTGTCACCACCCTAAATATTTTTTGTTTAAAAAAAGTCAAACAGTCAAATAAATGAAAAACAAATGCCAGCAAGTTTTGGTGGTACATGCCTATAATCTCAGCACTTTGTAATGAGGCACAATAATCTCTTTTGACTCTTGCTTTGGAAACAGTAAATTAGCAAGACCTCGTCTCAAAAAGACAACAAAAAAATTTTTTTAAAGGGCTAGAGATAATAGCTCAGTGCTAAGGTTCAATCACCAATACCACAAAATAAAAACAATAAATAACAACAACAATAACAGGTAAATATATGTCCTGCATAGTCAGAAATACCCATGTAAACTACTGTTGGTAGCAGTATTGAATTTCCTCTTTTACACTGTCTCAAGTATTCAGCTCCCCTCTCCTAAACTGCCCATCTCTTGAGCCACCTCACCTTTCCTTTCCATCGTATGGATCGAATTGTCCATTGTTAGACAGCTACTGCTGATATTGAAGGTTGAGACGACATTCACACTTTGCTAGCTCTGGGAAAAATGGTCAAGATAGTCTGCGGGTCCAGCAACTCTAGGGTCCACTCTTTTCCAAGATTCTCCAGCTTCTCAGGTAAGTCTCAGGTTAGGAAGTCTCCTTCCATGACATCTTTTCCTCAAGCTTCTGTGTACTCACATCACAGATCTGTCTTACTCTTGTGGATCCAGGACCTGTGGGGGTTAGGACATAAATCCAATTTTCCTGATGTCTTTTCAGTGAATCTCTGTGGTAACTAACCTTCAAGATGTTCCTCAATAATCAGTGTTTTCTGGGGATCATACCTTTTATAGACCCCACTATACTAAACAGGTTTGATCTGTATAATTAACAGACTGCTACAAAAATGATGGTGTATGACTTTCAAGGTTAGGCCATTAAAGACATTGGGCTTCCACCTTGTATATTTTTTGGTTCATGAATTTTGAATGAAGCTAGCCACGATTCCACGAAGACACTCAATTAGTCAACAAATAACATTAACTTGCCAGTCACCTTGGAAGCAAATACTCCAGACTGAGCCCTGCCTTCTGAACACTGTAGCCCAGTCAACTATTTTGACTATAACTTCATGAAATACATGAGCCAGAATAATCAGCAGAGTCAAGCCCCACAGAAACTGTCTGCTAACAAATATGTACTGTTGTTTAAGCAATTCAATTTTGAGATAATTTGGTAATAGATAACCAATACACTTATCTTTCTTATTTGTAATTTAAATTTTTTGGAGTTATTGACCAGGGATGCTGGATGTAGAGACCAGCAGGAGTTAGGAGAAAATTCAAAGTACTAAATAGAGACACTAAAAGTCTAGAAACAAAGCAATGTTCACATATCTGCTCCTCAAATATCATCTATGAACATAGAGGTACAGATTCAACATAGTGATAGATAAACAGGTAAGTTAAAAATACTCAAGATTTACAGCAACCTTACAGCAAGCTCATATATAGAGTAAAAGAGAGTTGCATTAAAAGTCCAGGTATTTCAATACCTTGGCAATTGAAGCTGAAATTTAGAATCCCAAGACTTTCATTCGAAGTGAGAATTTTACTCATGCTATTCATGATACTGGATGAATAAATGAAATGGCTATTACTATATATCAATTTATCATCTTCTATAAGAAAGTAGATTAATCTTTGTATTATATGACAAATAGAAATAATAAAAATATTAATTATAATTAATTTTGAAGTGTTATGGTTGAGACATACTCCTAATAGTTATTTTCTTCCATGGCCATTATCTCCTTATAAAAAACTATATAATTTATTTATATAACATCTATACTATCCATCTACCCCCCTCATTAAAACTCCATGGAAGCAGGAACTTTTGTCTGGTTTTCACAGTGATAGCTGGGACTCAAAAAGAATGTTGATAAAATGTCAACCATTATGGAAACCAGTTCAGAAATGTAAAAATATTAAAAACAGAATTACAATATGATCAAGCAATTCTTCTGAGTATATACCCAAAATAACTGAAGCAAGGGCCCAGTTATTTATACACACTCCCATGTTTATGAGTGTTATTTGTAACAGCCAAACAGTGGAAACAGCCCAAGTGTCCACTGATGGATGAACAAATAACCCAAATGCTTATTCATTCACAACAAATATAGTATTATTTAACCTTAAAAACAAATTCTCACACAAACAATACAGATGAATGTTGACATTATGCTGAGTTAAACCAATCACAAAAGGACAAATTTCATATGATTCTGCTTATATGAGTTATCAAGAGTTGTCAAATTCATAGACAGAAAGTAGAAAGGCAGTTGATGGGACAGGGGAAAAGTGGAACAGGGAGTTATTTTTAGTGAGTACTACGTTTCTGTTTTACAAGATGAAAAGAGTTTCCATGATGACAGAATAACAATTTGAATGCACTCAATGCCACTGAACTATATAATTAAATATAATTAAGATGACAAATTTTGTTATATATCTCACCACTATAACACACACACATAGAACATAATGGAATACTACTACTAATTTTGGTGTGTGCGCGCATGCATACATACCCAGTACAAGGGAACAAATCCAAGCCATTCTACCACTGAGCTACATTTCCAGCCTTTTTTCCCCTCCCAAACACGGTATTGTTAAGTTGTTCAGGCTGGCCTCAAACTTGTACTCCTTCTGCCTCAGTTTCCTGAGAAGTTGAGTTTAAAAGTGTGTGCCACCATGCTCAGCTTACTAAACTGAGGATTTAAAAGTAGAAGACAATGGTATCTCAGATACAAATAAAACAGAAAAGGATGGGTAATTCAGAGTTCAAGTGTTTAACAGTCTTAAGTTTGAGATTTGTTAGTATGCATACTCAAATTTCAAGGATAAGACCAGAAACCTAATCAGTGGAGAGAGAAAAAGGAACAAGATGAAAACTGCATGTTAAAACAATATAAGAAAAAAGAAAACAATTTTATCAGCCACTGTGATAAATATAACAATGAAACTCACCTATACATCAAGCAAGCTAAAAGGATAAAAAGCTCAGGAATATGCTCCTCACATGAAATCTGAAAGATAAAGGAAAGGAGTAGGAAAATGAAATTTCTGTAAATTTCTGTAACAAATTTCTGTAACAAAACCTAAAAAGTAATTCTTCTTAGTATAGTAGATTGGACTGTTGGTCCTCCTCTATGTAACTTTCTTTGCTTTCCAAAGAAAGAAGTGTGATGTGTATTTAACATTAAGCTTAGCATGACTTTCATTAGCTAATGTAATATTAACATGGGTAGAAGCAAAGGTTTTAAGGGTGTATGCATTATCTGTTATGTACTTTGATGATCCAACATAAAAAGAAAACGCCCTGGTAACCACTGCCTTTGGCCAGAACCCAGAAAGAAGAACTGTGGGACAGATCTGAACTCATCCTGCAACTTAACCAAATGTAGCATGAACATAATGAACCTGCAAAAAATGTCAATATGTCCCCTGCTACTGAGTTTAGGGGTGGTTTGTTAGGCGTTGCTAAATTAATATAAGACTGGGGGATATATCTCAGTGAGTACTTGCAACGTGAAAGGCCCTGGCCTAAATCCACAGCATTACAAAAAATTAAATTAAAAATAAACTTACATAAAGAAGCAAAGCATGCTATGGTAATAACGAACCTGGAAAATATCATCAAGAAAACCTGGGAAATCACGTGGGAGAGAAAGAGCAGCAGCAATGAAGACAAAGGAGCCAATGGAAAGAGGGCTAACAAAACAAATACAGAGTTTTGTTATGGTGGTAGTGATACTGGGGATTAAAACCAGAGCCTTTTGCAAAATGCCCATCCTTTTTTAAAAATTTTAATTTTAATTTCAATGTAATACAAGTAGACATTAATAAAGCAAATGTTTTTAAAAGTCTTTACTTCTATGAAAAAATAAAGCAAAATCTCATAACAAATTAAAGAATAACATTAGTTAATAAACGGTGTACCATCATCTTAAAAGAATGGCAAAAATGTTAAGAGTACAACTCATACACAAAAAAGGCTCTTACAGAAAAGAAACAAATAGATAATAGCACATAACTTTCTTTTCAAGGAACCGAGAGGTCCTAGCGGTATAAATGAAACAGGTTAGCATATACATTGAAGTTTTTTTGAAATCACAGAATATTTAATTTGGGGAATTATTAGAACTTGTCCCTACCTCCTATTTCTATCTTTAAAAAATTTTTTTAAAAACATTTGATAGAAACTATGTACAATAAAATTTTACTGTATTTTACACTGTATTTTATAGCCACTGCAGGAATTTATACAGATTAGAAGGAAGATAAACAGCTAAGGAGGGGCCAGGCCTGTGAGATATTTTCTCAGAGCATGAAAGTCAGAGTTGGTTGGGGAAAAGGGTTCAAACTGCCAGATTAAGTGGATGTTAAAAAAAAAAAAAAAGCTAAAATGCAGGCCTCTGGGCAGATAATCAGACGCTGGGACCACCAATATTTGAAAGGCGCCATTCTTAAACACAGCCCCCATCTAGTCATCTATGTGGATTCTTGCCCGTGACTTAGGAAATACCATTCCAAAGATGTTTTTCTCATCAGGCAGTCACAAACATGCATTCGATCCCAGACATAGGGATGACCTCTCCTCCTTGCCCGGACAGAAACAAACTCACAACTTTTGGACAGTACTGACCCAGTCTCCCCAGTTTTAGTCCTTATTTCTACTTTTGTTTTCTCACGCTAGAGAAACAACGCAGGACTCAAACCTGTGTCCGATTTATTTCAGAGTATGGTCTCAAGGTCCATCCGTTTAGCTATAAATGCTTGAAACTCATCCTTCTTTATGGCAGACTAGGCCCATCCCTTTTTGAGCTACATCCCCATCTCCCGCCCCCCTCTCCCCGTACTGGGAATAGAACTCAGGACCTTGCACTTGCGAGGCAGGCGTGGTGCCACTGCCCATCCCTTTTTGAGCTACATCCTCATCCCCTTTTTATTATATTTTGAGAGAGAGAGTCTCCTTAATAATGACCACCTTGGGGTCGAGCCTGCAATCCTTTATCAGCTAATTCCATGCCTGGGATTATAGTCATGGGCCACCACGTCAGGTCCAAAAAATGTTTGTAAAGTAGTTACCAACTGTGTCAAAAGCTAGAGAAACTAACCCAAATAAGGCAAGAACCACTAAACATTACAATCACACAATTTGCCATGCTCACACTCACTACACCGTTAATCACAGACGCACAATCACAAACATCAAACACATCACATGCAGCCACCACACTCACACAACCACACCTCCATCACACGCCCCTCAAATTATAAACACACACTAGACAGACATGCAGCAGAATGTTGTCCCAACCCCAGTCACTCACCAGTAACATACTCACACGGCGCTCCCCACTACCCCTTCTCCGGACTCGGAGGACAGCTTGACCGCCTCCGCCGTCAGCCGCCTGCGGCCGGTACAAACCAAACCGTTCCAGCCCCTTCCTTTCCTACTGCTGCAGGGACTGGTCAGCTTCGCCTTCTGGAAACGCCCAGATGTGCATCCAGCAAAGTGTCTGTGAAAGCCTAGGTGAAATCCACCCGCAGAGATGTCCTGTACAGACTCCAGTGCAACAGACCATGTAAGGTATCTGCGACCGCTACACCCCCGGGCGTGACTCCACCCAGAAGGCACTGCGGCCTAATTCAACTTCCGGTCGGAGAGCTCCCGCGGGTGTGGTGTAGGGGACTGAACAACCAGGATTGCTGGGGAGGTTCAACTCCGGCGCTGCCCTCTGTCTTGACGCACAGTTGTGAAACTGCATTTCGAGGTGAGAGAGTTACTGGAGCTGTCTTTGCGGGCGGACTCAGACAAGTTGCTGAGATGTGGGCCCTCGTCAAAACTACATTTCCCAGAGGGCACAGCAGCCTGTCGCTCTTCTTTTGGCAATTCCGACGTTTCGTCACACCTGGCGGGACCGTTAGATAGGTGAGATGAGAGATCATGGTCCCCGGGGTACCCGTTTCAGGTCTGCAGGTTTAGACGTGAGAAGACTGGAAAGGAGAGAATCATGGAGGCCCTCGGGGAGCTATGTGGGCAGAGCTCCGCGAAAAAGGGAGTTTGTGGGATTGTGCCGGCCGATGGAAAAGTCTGGTCATTGTAAGTTTGTGTCTGAAGGATGACTGCCTAAACGTACGTGGTACTCTGTGTATTAGTATGAGGCACCTGTGTGATTGTGACTAAGAACAGTGTCTCCAGGATACTTCTGAGGTTTGGTCATATTCTAACCCTGGACAGCTTAAACACAGTCTTTCCCTTGAGACATTGAAATTGGATAGGTTGTCCTTTTCCTCTGATTTCCATTCCCTCTGTGGGGTAGGTAATGAGATGGGACTAATAATGATTTCTAACCTCACTTTGGGTACCAAGAAAAACCTAGTGACCATTTCGCCCCTCCGAGTTCTCCCCTTTTCCGTGTGAGTAACCCTGAAGAGGAGGAAACAATGTATGATGGACTAATACAAGTAATATCCAAGGTGTGCTGTGATTTCCTTTTTTATTGTCCTCTGAAATTTTTGGTTTATAAAGATATTTTATTTGAATATAGGTATCTATAAATTCTCCATTGGAATAAAGATTATGCCTGGGATTAAAGCCTAATATTCTTTATATACTTAGTGCGCATACTAATACTCTTACTTACACTAATGATATATTGTGCTTTTCCATTTAAATAATACTCGGATGCTAAAGCAGGAGAATCATAAGTCTGAACCTAGTGTAGGAAACTTGGCAATTTAGCAAGACTGTGCTTTTTGTTTTTTCACTTTTTGGTACTGGAGATTGAACATATACTAAGAAGGAATAACATCTAAAATGTAGGTAGAGTAATTGTTCTGAAAATGAAAGTATAGGAAGGGGAAAAACGTGATAGCTCATATGGAAGAGGCCTTGGGACTTTGAGGGGAGGGCCTTGAGAGTCTCTCATAACATCTCAAAGGTAATGTCTCCTAAATACAAGTTTAGTGCTCTTTGTTTTTTCTTTTAAATATTACATTTCAATGCAGAAATAACTAATGAATTTTTTCTCCATTTAAATTGCCAATATCTTTCCAGTCATCTCCTTTAAAATAGTAGAAATTTATTCTGTGTTTGTAATCACTTACCAATTTTTTCTAATAGACTTTTATTTAATATACTTATATGCATATAGATACACAAACAGGAAAACACTTGTAGAAAACTTAATGTTGTTATATCTTGTATTTATAAATATATATAATAATGTGTTGTGAGAATTAAGTTAATTAAATGTAAAATGTTGGGACTTTCTAATAATGGTCAATAATCTAATGGGTGTTATCTAATATTAACATCAGCATTTTCATTGTTACTGTTTGTGAAAAGACTCTAAAAATATATACATCACAGTTCATATCAAAGAATTCATAAATGGGAACGACCAGTAAATGTGATGTTCATGGAAAAGCTACTCACCATTTGCGCAAGAGCTGTCACTAATGGAGGAAACAGCTGCCTGTGTCTTGTTGATCAACATGGTGCCAATTATAAGAAATTGTCACCCTGTAACCTGTCTTATTGGCAGACGGTAGGGCACATTGGGAGCCACTTGATTGGGAAGACATGCTGGACAGCTTAGATTCTGCTTTTTGGTAGCAGAAACCAGAGAGATGCACACTTGTAATGCCAGTACTCTGGGAGGCTGAGGCAGGAGAATTGCAAATTTAAGTCCAGGGCAAGTTAGTGAGACTATTTTAAAATAAAATAAAAAGGGCTGGGGATGTATCTCAGTGCAAAGACCCTAGGTTCCACCCCCCACAGAGGGAGGGAGGATAAAAGGAAAGAAGAAAAAGAAGGCAAAGCAGAGAAGCCATGGCAGGGGTGCTCCTACCATAACCAAAAATGACATTTGGGCTCCTAGAGTGTGGAAAGAGGGACTATATAAAGATTTGGGCAAAGGAAGCATAAGGGGAAAGTTTTTTCTGTTGTCTTTTCTACAGTTTGGGGATGTATGACTCCAGTGGTGCTTCCTGAATTTTTTACTCATAGACATTATGTGAGATAATGTTTGCTTCTGTTTTAGGTCATTAAATTTTGGGATAAATGGTTTTTCTGTCTCAGGTCATTTGCATTTGCTGTTCCCTCTACTAGAATACTTTTTCTTTCAATAGCATTGTTAGATCCCTCATTTCCCTCAGAAAAGTCACTTTTGAGGACTTTCCTGGCTACTGTATCTAAAGTTTCACTTTCCTCCTATTTCCTATCTCCTTGCCTTGTTTATTTTTTGCACTTTGACAATTACCAGTTTCTATTTGCTACTACATCCCCAGCATCTAAAACAATGCCTGGTTCATTATAAGTACTCAGTATGTCCTTATGAATAAATCATTGTATTATGTCTGTTCAGTAGAGAAATTCCAGGAAGAACATTCAGAGCCTATACTCATGGAGCCTAGCAGCAGGTAGGTACTAAGATCTTCATTCCAATATAAATGACTTCATTCTTTCCTACTTTCAAATGGTTTTTCCCCAGGAGGTGGGTAGATGCTGTGATGGCCCCCAATCATTTCTGCCACCTGATATTGTGGAAAGGAAATTACATCCCTATGTAATTTCTTCTTGAGCCTGACTGGGACTTGTCATTTGCTTCTAATGGAACAGAGCAAGTGTAACAAGGTGTCATATCCATGGTGATATTATGTAAAATTGTATCTTCTATATTAGTAGCATATTTTATATATCAAGGAAGTTGCTACACTGTATGAGGTTGGGTTTTTTGTTTTTTTGCGGGGGGTACCAGGGATTGGAACTTGGGTCCTTGCACTTATGAGGCAGGCAGCAGAACCACTGAGCTAAATCCCCAACCTGGAAGTTGCTACATGGTGAACCACACATTGATGAGGCCTCATGGCAAGGAACTGAGTGAAAGTGGCCTCTGGTCCACAATCAGCAATAAGTTGACCCTCTTCACCAACACATCGCAAAAAACAGTATATACTTCCAACAACCAAGTGGTCTTAGAAGCAGATTCTTCCTTACTTGAGGATCAGATGAGACCACTGGTCAATACCTTGACTACAGCTTTGTGTGACCCTGAACATGAGGACCCAACTAAGCCAAACTTGGATTCCCAACTCAGAAATTGTGGCTTTAAAATGTGTGCTGCTTTATGCTACTACATTTGTGATAAAGTTAATTAGCACTAGGGAATTAAAAACTCTGTTTTTTTCTTTTCTGGGACACAGTACCTAACAAAGTACTTAACATAAGTAAAAGAGTAAGTGTTGGCCCATAGTTTTAGAGGTTTCAGTCCACGGTCATGGGTCTAAGTTGAATCACACATCATGGCAGAAGGGCATGGTCGAGCAAAACTGCTCACTTTGTGGCAGCTGGGAAGCAGGGCACAGAAGGAATGTACCCAAGAGAGCATGCCCCCAGGGACCACCTTGAATTGGGCTCCAGCCCCTAAAACATTTGGCTGTGAACACTGGTGGATTAGTCCACCGATGAGTAAAAGGCCCTTATGATCCACTCACTGTCTGAGTCTCTTAATCCAGTCAAACTGACAAATGAGATTAAGTGGTACAGTGAAAGCTATGTGCCACGGTCCATAAATGTGCTAATTCAGCGTTTCTCATCTGTTGTTTATGAAGAGAATGCTTTGTTTTAGGGTGGAGGATTAGAGGTGATAAGGGATGTAAACCAGATCTGACCACCCTTGGCTGACCATCAGAATTATTGGGGCACCTGAAAGTCTTGCTCTTCACATCTACACTTCCTTTCATGACATTCTGATGATTGAGCTGAAGGAAAGGCAGTAGATCAGGTCAGTCAGCTATCTTGTCAGAAAACATTTTCAAGGCTTCATGCATTTGGAAATGTTGCCCCCCTTTATTTTATGTTTTTCAAATTACAAAAGTAACATGTTAACAAGTAAAACAATACAAAGATATATAAAGTACACAACTTTTATATTTACCATCACCAAGGTAGCCAAAGCAAGCACCTTGGTGGGTCTTTCCACAATTGTTCTTGCTCATATAAACATATACATGCATATATAATAAACACATGTGGCTTTTACTGTTTATTCATTTATCATGGTGCTGGGATTGAACCCAGGGTCTTGAGCATGCTAGGCAAGCACTCTACTACTAGCTACATCTGTGGCCCTAATTTTTTATTTTTAAAATAAAAATCATTTGCATTATATACTCTGCCCTTTCACTAACAAATATGCCATAAACACCCTACAAATTAGAAATTTAGCTCTTTTACCTGCCCCTACCCAAATGTCTTCTTACACATTTGAGTATCATACTCGGTTGAATCATTTACTTTATTTTTGCCTCTCCTTTTCCCCATTCCTCTGACTCCCATAAGCTACCTTCATCACCCACTTCCCCTCAACCCAGTACATACTCTTCCAAACTTCACCATGCATATAAAATCATACATAAAATACATTCAAAAACACCTAGAGACATTTTGATACTGCTTTACAAAAACAGGTAGTATTTTACATGTATAATTATCTCTTGCTTTTTTTCACTGAAAAAAAGCATTGTGTAATTTTATTTACTTCTAGTAGCATAGTTTTAATTTTCAACCTTGTATAAACATTCTATGGAACAGATATAATATAGACGTCTTCTTCTCCCAGTTTCCCTACTGATAGGCATCACTTTTATTCTGTGAGTTTCCGTTGTTTTTTTGGTTTTGGTTTTGTGTTTTCGTCATTAGAAACAAGTTGCGATAACTGTGTTCATCCTGTCCTTTGTGTACTGAGGGCTGTATCTTCCAAGGGGAATATTCCCCAAAGTGAAATAAGTATTTTAAGTTTTAACATGTTTTCAGGTTACTTGTCAAAACAGCAATTTGAATTGCTTTTCAAATGTGTTTCCAACAAGCATATAGAGAAATCTTGTTCTGATAGCAAAAAAGCACTCTTTGCATAGTGTTATCTCATTATAAATTTAATCTACCTTCCCCAACAATTACTGAAGCTAAACATTTTTTGCCAGATCCATCAGCCACATAAGATTTGCTCATCTCCCAACTCTGCATTTTGTGGGGGGGTCATGTTTTGCTATTTGAGTGTTTTTCCTGTCAGAGGCATGTTTCCTCTATAATCAGTTCCACAAATATTTTTCCCTAGTTATCTGTTATTTTTTATAACATCCTTTGCCATTCAAAAGACTTCACTATTTATGCTGTCAAATATTTACTTTTAATAGCTTTTGAATATCCTGTTTTGGTAAAGATAATTTCAATTCTACATTGTGTAGTCTCCTTTGACTTTTTCAAAAAAGAGCCTTATTTTTAAAAACTTAAGTCTTAAAATCCTCCTGGACTTTGTTTTTGGATATTTTTGTTCTGTGTGTTCGACTTTTTTTCCAAATTAAAAGCCAATCAGGCCAGATTCTTTTTAAATAAAGTACTCTTTTCCCCTGTGAGTTGAGATTCTTTTCCATACACAAAGGTCTACTTTAAACTTTCCGTTCTATTGATGTATTAATCTGTTCCTTTGCTAATATTATAATACTTTCATTATAATGATTTTATGTTATATTCTGATATTGGTATGACATACCTTTTTCATACTTGTCTAAATTCTCAGGCATTTTTCATATTAAATTTATGACGATTTCACATAAGCTAAAACAAAAAAGTCATTAAGGTTTAGTACAATTTCCAAAAGAAGTAAATTATAAGATGTTTATTGTCAGTACAGAGGCCAGTTCTTAATATCTATATGTTGCCTTCTTAGAAAATTACCTTAAAATAAATTAGTCTCTTAATTTGTTATTAACCATGTCTTCTGCAAAAAAGGGATAGTTTTTTTCATTGCTTATATCAATTATTTTATACTTTCTTCATTGTTTCCAACATCATATTCAATTCCTGATTTTTAAAAATGGCTTTAGTATAATATGTAGTACAGGGTTTTGGTAAAGAAACCCTGTAAGTGGTTACCATTGATTATAACTTATAGTACTTTAAGTTAGAAATGTTTGCAAATTCTGTTAAATACCTTGTCAGCATCTATTGATGGATTGTGATTCTTCTCTTTTAAGCTGTTAATTTTACAGTTATATTTCTTAATACTGAACTGGTTCTGCATTCTTGGGTTAACTCTTATCTGGTCATCACTATCAGAGTTGGTCATTCTTTAGGTATACAGGTGAATTTTACTTGTCATAATTGTAATTATTTCTATATTCATAAGACTGATCTTTAGTTTTTTCTAACTCTATTCTGACTTCATAAAGTAAAGTGAATAGTACAGTCTATGGATTGAAATATGAGTAACTTTGGTGTTACTTTAAAGGAATAGATATATAGAATTAATCACAAATTTGTCTAAGACAGGGAGTGTTTTTCAATATAGATCTAAAATCATTTTTCCAAATGCTTTAGTGGTACTTGTTTTATCATGTTTTATACTTATTACTGCAATTTTCATAACTTAGTCTGCTTTTAAAAAGCATCCATTTCCAAGCCGGGTGTGGTGGCACACTCCTGTAATCCCAGCACTCAAGAGGCTGAGGCAGGAGGATCGCTGTGAGTTCGAGACCAGCCTGGGCTACCTAGTGAGTTCCAGGTCAATCTCAACTACATAGTGAGACCCTGTCTCAAAAACTAAAAACAAAACAAAAAGCGTCCATTTCCTGTTTTTTAAAAAATAATACTGATCTAGAGTTGTACATGCTATATATTTTTATCATTCTTTTAATCATGGTTACATCTCATTTCCTTTCTCTTTCTGGATCAAGGAAGCAAATCTTGAAGAACATAGATTTCAATTCCATTTATTTTCTTATATACAACATGGCAGCTCAAAGAAACAAAACTTTTTTCAAACATTGGAATGATGGAAAACTTGGAATACAGTACCAGAACAATTACAAGAAGTTCTAGGAAAGAAAAGCTGATGTTGCTGGATTAATTTTCCAAAGGAAAATGAAAGACAATAAAGAAGTTCTACTTCACTGATTTCTGCATGAAACATTTCTGAATTAGACTCATATAAAGAGCATCATCATGTCTAATTTGCTGCAAGATAATTTAAGCAAGACTAGGAAAAAATGAGCAATGTACAATATACCAGGGAAACACTATGCTTTGTTAAATAGCATGCTGAATTATCAAGTTTCTAATGTTTTGTTTACCCAATATCAGGCAGTTCAAAAAAAGCAGGGCAGGGGGCTCAGTGGTTCTGCTGCTTGCCTTGCAAGCACAAGGACCCAAGTTCTATTCCTGGTACCAAAAAAAAAAAAAAAAAAAAAAAACCAAAAAAAAAAAAACTTTAGCGTATCATCTCAGAGCTGGGAATTTAGTTCAGTGGTTCTCCTGCTTGCCTTGCAAGCACAAGGACCTGAGTTCGATCCTGGGTAACCCCACAAAAAAAAAAAAAAAAAAAAAAAAAAAAAAAAAAATCAGGCAGTTAAATTATTCCTTAGCTTTAATGTGTTTCCAATAAAATAACTTTAATAAACTTTTGGCTGGCATACCAAATGACATTAAAAACATTGCTTTCTTATTCAGAGAAGGGCTTAGAAATAACTGTTAAGCCCATTTACATTTATTACAAACAAGGTGGAGAAAATGTAGCTGTATAATATGCTGCCATAAAGTAGCTGGCCATTACGTTGTTACTGCTTTTTATACAGTTAAGACACCAAACAAAAATGGCAATAATGGTGAAAATGGTAGAAAAACTGGAGAGGATGCCATTCTATGTACTATGTAACACACAGATTTGATATTCAGAATTTATGTGATTCACGTTAACAATTCCAAAATATAAATATTTATTATGTGTTACTGAGGAAAGTATCATCATATACTTCTAAGTCTTTTCTTATATATTTTGTAATCTGTTGTTATTCTATTTAATACATTTTAAAATTTATGTCAGAGTAAACATTTATACAGTTTTATAAATATTTCCATAATCTTTCCATTAAAATTGTATCATAATTGCAGTATGACTTTTCTTTTAATAAAACACTTTGCCTAAATTCATTAAGTTGAGATTTCTCTAAAGGATAAATTCCTATACCCAGTGAAACTGGGTATCATGGTCAAGGTTTTCCCACAATCATTACGTTTTCATTCCTGTAGGCATTCTTTCTAGCATGAATTTTCTGATGTCTGCTTAGGTTTGGCTTCTGGTAGAAAGCTTTGCCACATTCATTGCACCCGTAGGGTTTTTCTCCTGTATGAGTCCTCCAGTGTTTATTGAGGCATGACTTCTGGCTGAAGCATTTTCCACATTCTCTGCAACAATAGGGTCTTTCTCCTGTGTGCATTTTTCGATGTACATTGAGGTATGATTTCTCACCAAATGACTTCCCACATTCACTGCACACAAAAGGTCTCTCTCCTGTATGTGTTCTCTGATGTTCTGTGCGGTGTGACTTCTGGGTAAAGGCTTTCCCACAGAAAAAGCATTCAAAGGGTCTTACCCCAGTGTGAATTCTCTGGTGTTTAATTAGGGTTGACTTATGTGAAAAGGCCTTCCCACAGTCAGTGCATCCATAAGGCTTCTCCCCTGTGTGACTTCTCTGATGCCTAATGAATTCAGACTTGTAGCAGAAGGCTTTCCCACACTCATTACAGACGTGGGGTTTTTCTGCAGGTGGAATCCTCTTTCGTTTGTACACAAGAGAATTGGTCACTGCTGATTTATATATAAGTGCTGGGTTGTGGCTGAAAGCTTTCTCACAGTGACTGCATCCCCAGGGTTTTTCTCCATTGGATCTTTTATCATGGTTGCTGCATTGCAACAATTTCCCATATCCGTAACACTCATCTTGTTTTTTTGCATAGTTTGTCTTCAAACCAATCAAGTTTAAATTATCATTCAGACTCTTTCCACAAGGATCCCAGTTATTGGGCCTTTGAATTGAAGGAAAAAGATCTGTGCTCAAAAGTGATATTTTCCCAAACTTATTACATTCATGGATTTTTCCCTGAGGCAAAGCTTTCTTGCTGATGAATGCACCTTGCCTCAAAAACATATCTTGCTGCCTCTTCCTCTGGACATCAACTTGCCAGATGTCTTCTGGAGAAGGTACAAGTGAATCATTCCTTATGAATCTTTATGCTTATTATGAGCTGTAATAAAACTAAGAAATGCCCTCAAATTTGAAGTGTGTACACAGTATATGAACCATATTGAAAAGCACAATTCAGGGAAAAGTGTTCTATGGTAGAGAATATTCACAGCACTACTGCTAATAGAATGCAGTATACCATAGGATAACACAAATAATTTCAAAGACGGGATGATGTAACAATGCTGGGATTGGCAAAATTGTACTTAATGGGCCAAAGAGAAAATATTTTAGGCTTTACAGGTGGTCATGGTGTTTCTCACAATTATTCTCTGATTGTAGCAAGAAAACACACTATCTACATATAAGTGACTATGTTGCAATGCAACTTTATTCACAAAAATGTGTAGCTGACCTATAGAACATGTTTTCCTGACCTACCATAGAAGAGAGAGGTTTCAACATTACATAGTGCCTTGCTAATCAGTGTGAGGGTCATCAAGGGGTACCTTTGTCTTTACCTGAAAGCTTGTCAGATTGCTTAATCTCAGGCCCCACCCCTGACCTACTGAATCAAAAACTACAAAAAGTCCAGGTTAGAGTTTGATAAGTACTGATATAGCCATTATCAGAGTTTATCCTGTTGAGTTGATTATAATATAAATAGTAAAGCACTCTCAAGTGGATTAGATGAATTAATTCAACAGAATTAGGATTTAAAACAAGACTTCTAGCCAGGTGTAGAGGCACATGCTTGTAATCCCATCTACTTGTGAGGCTGAAGCAAGAGGATAATGAGTTCAAGGCCTGCCTAGGAACACAGACCCTGTCTCAACAAAACAAAACAAAATAGCAGTTCTTGGTGGATAGAAATCACAGGGGTTATCAAATTGGATGGGAAAAAATTACACCTATTCTCACTAAATTCTAACTACAATTGAACATGTCTTTTGATTATGAGTATAAACAATTACACAGTAATATTAACCGTTATTTTGCACACTTATTTATGAATATGGTATTTTCATTTTATAGGTTTTTCATAAAATATTTACAATCATCTCTACTTTGATATTTTTTAGACCTAAAGCCATACCTCATTATTTGATATATAAATAAGGAACTGCAACTACTACTAGGTCACACATTTTGAGAATATCTCAATAACTGTATTTTTCACTTTTTATTTTGATAATTACTATTTTTCAGGAATTTCTTTCTTTCATAATCTTGAGTGTGTGTTTGTGTGTGTGTTAGAGGTAAATGAACTCAAGGGTGTATTACCATTGAGCTATACCTCAAGCTCTTTTTATTTTGAGACAAGGCCTTGCTAAATTACCCAGAATAGCCTTGAAGTTGCAATCCTGCCTCAGCCTCCCCAAGTAATTGGGATTACAGGTGTGTACCACCATGTTCAGCTTTCACTATCACATGCAAAAAAAAAAGAATGAGTCTTGAAGACAATGCCCAAGAGGTCTATGGCACCTCTGACTTCAAGGCAGACATTCAGGTATGAGATAGTCTGGGTCCAATTTTATTCTATTTTATTCTATTTATTCTATTTATTTATTTATTTTTATTTTTTTTTTTTTGAGACAGGGTCTCACTATGTAGTGAGACTGACCTGGAACTCACTATGTAGCTCAGGCTGGTCTTGAACTCACAGTGATCCTCCTGCCTCAGCCTCCCAAGTGCTGGGATTACAGGCGTGCACCACCATGTCTAGCCTTCTGGGTCCAATTTTAGGAGATGTCAGTGGAAAGTAAAAAGTGAGGAGGTTCATAAGATACTGTTGGGACATTTTATACAGCTATTTTACATCTAAACTGAATGCTAATAGAAGTGGTTAAGATGGGCCCTACCTTACCTGCTTTACCACCCAGCCATCCATGGATACCTTCTACCCCCTCACCCCCAAATGAAGTTCACTGCTTCCTCTTCTGTGATCCCATACTCTTCCGTCTGTGGGACTGACTTAAATTTGAAGGAGGAAGGAAAGGATGGACAATGAGGCTGAGTATGGTCTGAAGCATTTTACCTGGAAAGTGTTAGAGAGTAACACCAGGAGGTGTGGGAATATCACAGAAGTTATTTATTTGCAAGAACATCTGAGTGTGAAGGAGGTGTACTAATAACCTCAGGAGTTACACCAAGGAGAAAAGGAGATGAACCAAGAGCGGAAGTGGAAGTAGGAAGAACAGACTAGGGGAAGTAGGAGTGCATGGAGAGCAGAGGATCATCAAGAAGGACGGAGTGCCCAGTCTTTTAAGAGTGGGACCTTACGCAAAGACCCGAGTTCAATCTCCGGTACCAAAAAAAAAAAAAGTGGGACCTTAAACACAATTTCAAAAGTGCCAATCTCACCTAGTACCCCTTTTGCTAGGTTTTATCACACTTACCCTGACAGCAGCAGCCCAGGCATGGTGCCTCACAAATCCATGGTGCTTCTTCCTGTTCCAGCCTGAGGATCACATCTGGTTTGGTGCCTTCATAACCTGTTCCAGGAAGATGATCCAGGTCTTGAGACAAAGCTCCTTGGTCTTTGGGAGCCTCTCAGGCAGTTTCAAAGGCTACACATACACACGCTATACTTGAGATGGGACTGTACTTAAACCTTGTCCAGAACGAACTGGAATTGATAATCTAGGATCATTGGAAGTCAGAACGAACCCACAGAGGCACAGCAGTGTAAGGTTAGGAATGCATTCTATATTCAGACTGCCAGGTTCAAATTCTGGCTCCACTGTGTACAAGGTGAGTGCCTCTGTGCAAGTTACTGGGCCTCTCTGTGCCTCAATTTCCAAATCTGTGAAATAGCAGTATTACTCACACCTAGGTCACAAAGCTTTTCTTAAGTTTATTTCCAATCTTTTATTGATTTTAGACTTCAGATTACAGTGTAGTGAATATAACTAAAATTTTCAGAATATAATACTCTAGCTTTCGAAAGTTACCACATGAGGTAGATGAGAAAACTATGGAAAAGTTTAAGTGCAATGTTCAAGGAGGTGATTGAAGCTGGGCATGCTGGCACATGTCTATAATCCCAGCCCTCTGAGAGGTTAAGGTAGGAGAATCACAAGCTCAAGCCCAACACCTAGCAAGACCCTGTCTCAAAATAAAAAAGTTTAAAAGTCTAGGGATGTAGCTCAGTGTAAAGGCCCTGGATTCAGCACCCCTGCCCTTCACAAAAAGATTAAATACATATATATATATATTTTTTCAATGCTATTGAGAAAAAGGAACCCTTCTCAATTGTTGTTGGGAATGTAAATTGGTACAACCACTATGGAAATGAATGTGAAGATTCCTCAAAAAACTAAAACTAGTTTCCACTGAAGGAGCTATGCCCCTAGGTATCTTTCTAGGTAGCTTTCCAAAAGAATTAAAAACATACCTCAGTGACACGTGCATATCCACGTTCATAGCAGCACAATTTATAATAGATGAGTGGATAAAGACAAATGTGGTATTTATATGCCCCGATATATTATTCTGCCATAAAGGATACACTTGAGTCATTCATCTCCAGACCGCAATGTTAAAATAAGCCCCACACGCAAGTTTAAATATGGCACTGTTTCTCTTGTGTGAAAAAAACCATAGAGTGAATAAGTAACAAAACAAAGAATAGATGTTAGGAAGTAAGAACATGTTCAAATAAGAAGGGGAACAAGGGACGGGAGAGGGAAGGGAAGCAAGGGAAAGGGGATTATTAAAAAAGAGAATGGAAGGAAAAAATGGAAACAAAGCTTTTGCAAATGGGGAGGAGAAGAAGGGTTGAAGGGAGGGGAGAAGAATGGGCAAAAATATGAATGAAGGCACATTATGTACAGGTACAAATTCCCTATGATGAATGTGATTATGTATGGCAAATATGTATTTTTTTAAAATTTTAAGATAAAAAATAAAATAGTAGTGTTTGGACATTTGTTCTGGGTATAGTTCTGTTGAAGTTAACTTGAGAGCTAACCTCTGGCATTAGTTATTGGGAAAGCATCCCAAAACACTTCTACTGTAGCCACCTTGTTTACAAGGTACAGAGATGATGTTCTTCTCTGTATTGGCATCTAGACATGAGCTTTTTTTCCCATAAAACATTACAGGCACAGCTGGGCATGGTGGCACAGGCTTCTTTCTAATCCCAACACTTGGGAGGCTGAGGCAGGAGGATCGCCCCAAGTTCAAGGCCAGCCTGTGTTACATAGTGAGTTCAAGGCCAGTCTGAACTTACAGCAAGACCCTATCTCAAAAGCAAGACAAAACATTTGCATTTCTCGAATTACCAGTGATGTTGATTATTTTTTCATATGATTATTTATTACTTCTACTTCTTTGAGAAATGTCTGTTCATTTCATATGCCCATTTTTGGATTGGGTCTTTAAATTTGGGAGGTCTAATTGTTTTAAGTTCTTTATATATTCTAGATAGTAAACCTTCATTTGAGGAAAAGCTGGTAAAATTTTTCTCCCACATTGTGTGATGTCTCTTTACGCTGTTGGTGGTTTCTCTTGTGCAGATTTTTTTTTTCTTTTTTTGAACCGGGGATCGAACTCAGGTCCTTGCGCTTGCAAGGCAGGCCACCGAACTGCTGAGCTAAATCCCCGACCCTCTTGTGCAGATTTTTAATAAGAAGAGATCCCACTTGTTGATTCTTTATGCTAGTTCATGTGTGACTAAGGTTTTGTTCATGAAATCTTTTCCTGTGCCAGTGTCTTCAAGAGTTCTACCCAACATCTCCTTCAGCTGGTTTAGTGAAAACAATGCTGAGATTTCTCCTCACTCCAGAAAGAATGGCTGCTATCAAGAAATCAACCAATAAGAAATGCTGGCAGGGTTGTGGGGAAAAAGGTACCCTTCTCCATTGTTGGGAATACAGACTGTTACAACCACTGTGGAAATCAGTATGGAGGTACCTCAAAAAACTAGGATTAGAGGTCTCCCTGCTGGATATTTTCCCAAAAGAATGAAAAGAATCATATTACAAAGATATATGTGCACCCATGTTCAGAGGGGTACAGTTTGTAATGGCTAAAACTTGGAAACAGCCCACTTGCCCATCAACTGGAGACTGGATAAAAAAAGTGTTTTTTAAAATATAAAATGGAGTACTACTCAGCCATAAAGAATGAGAAACTAGAGACATTTATAGTTAAATGGATGCACATTGAAGCCATACTCTTAAGTGAAATAAATAGGACACACATGTGTAAATACCAAATAGTTTCTCCGGTGTGAGAAAATGAAAGTGTATATAAGGATCAAAATGTATAACAGACAATTTGAAATAGGAAGAAAAGATCCAAAGGGGAAGGGGAATTGGGAGGGGTAGGGGAAAGGAAAGAAGAGAAAGGAATAAATATGAGAAAAGGAAAAAATGGAAATAAAATGTTTGTAAATAGGGAGGGGTAGATAGGTTGAAGGGATGGCAGGGAAATGGGGAAAAAATAAGCACCAAGATATATTATGTAAAGGTACAAATTCCCAATAATGAATGCCAGCATGCTGTACACCTAAAATGTGACAATAAAATTAATGAATGAAACAAAATAAAACAACACCATTACAGGCACAAGTCCAGTGGTTGCATTCTACAGTGTATATGCACTTCTTTTTAAATCATGTGTTGCATTTTTCCTTTATGCATGGCATTACATTAAACACTAGAATATAGGAGAGATCAAGAAAATCAGACATGGATGCGTCCTCAGATCTTGAGTCTATTTTTGTTGTTGTTGTGGTGGGGGTGATGGTGCTAGAGACTAAACTCTAGGACTCCTGCACACCAGGTAAATGCTGTACTACTAAGTTACAACCTAGTCCAGAACTTGGATTTATTAATGTAGATATACAGCATATAAATAGCTAGAAAAACAAGTTGGAAAGTACTCAGTGCCATAAAAGTTATATAGATAAGTGAGAGATATAGCAAGCAGAGAAAAAAAAATAGAGAAGACTTCATGAAGAAAGTATTCTTACACAACTGATTCAAAATTTGTACCAGTTAATTAGTTATTTGGTCTTAATTACTGGGAAAACAATACCTATTTCACTGACTTTTCATGTCAAACTCAAAAGAAATACTGCAGTCTTTTTTCCAAAACAATAACAGTGTTATTTGTACATATAGTCTTTTGTTTGTTTTTGTTTTTTGGTATCAGGGATCAAACTCGGGACCTTATGATTGTGAGGTAGGCACGGTGCCACTGAACTAAATCCCTGGCCCTCTACATACAGTTTTAAGGGAAAAGCTCTGTCTGCACTGAAACTCTATCAGTGTTCTGACTTTGGTAGTGGATGAGTGTAGCACAAGGGATAAATGGGTGAACCTGCTCGTGGGGTTGAGCTGTGAGCTGCATAAGCAACACCTGACCTTAAATAATCATAGGCTTAACCAGAAATAGATGTTTAGTTTAGTGTAAAATACGAGCCTCTCATAAAGCTTTTAGGAGAATTAAATGAATTAATATTTTTAAAGTTGCTAAAACTTCCCAGCATATAGAAAGTACTAAGTAATTATTAAGTAAATTAAGTACTCTGTGGAGGCTTTTAGTGACTGACAAAGAGGAGCTGGCCAGTCAAGCATAATGGGTAATGTATGAAAGAAGCCGTTCTTACCCACTGAGACCAGATTGCTGTAGGTCTCCAGCATCACATCTCGGTACAGGGCCCTCTGAGCAGGATTTAGCCGGTGCCACTCTTCTTGGGTGAAGCCCACAACCACATCTTTGAATGACACAGGTATCTCTGTAAGCTAAATGCAAAAACAAATGGTGCTGGGGTGGATGGTACTGATTTTTATAATGATCACAGGTCAGAGCCTACTCCGAGCACTCATCTACCCAGGTGACATTTACCTTCCCAGCTTGGTGCTATAAATGGTGGGAGAGATGTAACTCATGCTGGAAGCCACCCACTGTTGTCATTTACATCCACACTTTGAATCAACAACTGCTTTGTGTCTGGCCTACTGTTCTCAGCTGGAGGTTGGGACCATAGTTGGAGAGGGTTCTGATCTCCAGGAACTCACTGTCTGGCCCAAGGAGAGTAACTCATAGCGCCATCAGCGTGGAAGTGTGGAAGTGTCGTAAGGGCTATGATGGCAGGACATCTAGGCAATGGCATGCAGGGCAGCAAATGGTCCGTTAACATTTTCAGCAAAGGTTAGGCTTCAAAGCTCAGGCCTGTGTGGTGCTGAGTCTGCAAGGAAGACGGGGAAACTGTATTCCTTCCCCGGGAGCAGCATGAAGGCAAAGTGATATTAAGGATGGCAAGTTACTCAGTAACAAGAGAACAATACACAGAGGGCTATGAGTGATAAGATCATGGAAGAGAGGAGATGATGCGATGACGAAGGGAGAAGTGTGTGCACAAAGCACATGCTAGACCAGGAATGGGTGTCTTACATTCTGTGTGAAGCGGTTCACCTCTAACCAGACTGAAAAATCATAGGTGCATAATGTATAGAGTAACCACTAAAATCATAGTGCAAAGACATGTACCTAAAGCAAATAAAATTGAATCCTAAAAAAAAATAAATACATTAAAGATAGAGCATGCCTGTGATGCTTGCACTCTGGGAGACTGGGGCAGGAGAATCACAGGTTCAAGCCCAGCCGGAGCCAGTTAGCAACTTAGTGAGACCCTGGCTCAAAATAAAAAAATAACAAAACGAACTGGGGATGCCGGTCAGTGCAAAGGCCCTAGGTTCAGTCCCCAGTGCCAAATAACAGAAAAGAATTCACTTAATCCATACAAACACAAAATAAGAAAGAAAAAGAACTAGAAGAACAAAAGCAGATAAGGCAAAGAGAAAACAGATATTAAAATGGCAGATATAAATCCAACCTGGACTCTAATTTTTACATCCATATTCTGACAAAGGATGTTCCTTCATCACTGCAATGCCAAGTTTGGAAACAGAAAGAAGGCTGCTTGCTGCCTTGGTGCCTTCTGCCATGCACTGTTTCTCCTCTGTGGTGCCCCTCTGCCACGCCACCTCGCCTTGGAGCCAGCAAACTATGAACTGAAACCTCTACCAAATGAGAGCTAAAATAAACCTTTCCTCCTTTTACTTTGGGCGTTGGGTATTTTGTCTCAGCAACAAGAAAAGTAAGACAATCAGTTATATTTCCATGCAAAAATGGACCATTATGTGCTAGATTTGGAAAAATGGTGTGGTCTTAAGTACTAAGATGTTGGATAAAATATTGTGTCTGTGTTTTCTTATGGTTTCTGTGTATAAAATGGAGGCTGTGGCATTTCACTTAAATCACCAGAAGGGCTTGAAACCTTCCTGAGAATTGTCATTGTACAATCAGAACTCTCAATGTAATCTCTCCTGGGAGCAGCCTCTAATTCATGATTGGTTGATTTCAAAATATAAAAGTCCCCTCATTTCGACATAACACTCTGAGTAGCACACTATTTTATAAGATCAGATCAGATCTCTGGTCAACAACTCCTACCCAACCCTGCTCCCACCACTGTCTTGCAGGTGTTTCAGAAGCCTCCTCAAGAAACCACCCCTGGGGCTGGGGATTTAGCTCAGCGGTTCTGCTGCCTGCCTTGCAAGCCCAAGAACCCGAGTTCGATCCCCGGTACCAAAAAACAAACAAACAAACAAAAGAACACCTCTGTGAAAATCTCCACCTCTGAGTCTGTTTTCCTGATAAAGCAGCCTAACAGATGTTTATAATGCATTCATTTTTTTTTTCTTGGTCACTTTCACTAAGATCATTTTACCTGGTACTCGATCATTTTCTCCTCTTCTGGGAAAAAGCGTTGAGACCTGTGAAAGTAGAAAGACGAGAAAGAGAATTGGGAAATGAAAAACAGAGCTGTGAGTCCAGGCCTATCTTGGGACTTATAAATTGCTTATATAAATCGTATATACAGAGGGATTTAGCTCAGGGGCACCATGCCTGCCTCAAAAGCACCAGGTCCCGAGTTTGATCTCTGATATTAAAAAAAAAAAAATCTTGTATGCAAAACTATGGCTTTAAATCATCATGGTAAAATAAAAATGGCGGCCAATAAAATCTGAATATGAATGAATAAAATGGACCTTCCAAGAAATAAAAGCTGCTACCAAAGAATAACTAAGGTTTTTTTAAATGAACACATTGAGACTTAAATAATTAGACTTAAGCACATACTGTACAATGGCTTATATAAATTTATGAAAATATTACAAAGAAGCCAAAGCAAAGTCAAATAACTGCATAAGGCTAAATAACATATTCTCAATGATCTCAAATAATTAATGGAAAACAACACATTGTTATTCATTCAGTAGACTGAGTATTGCCATTTAAAAAATAATCTTCAAAGCCAGGTATGGTGGTACACACCTGTAGTTCCAGCTACTTGGGAAGCAGAGGTAAGAGGATCACTTAAGCCCAGGAATATGAGGTCAGCCTGGGCAACAAAGCAAGAGCCTGTCTCTAAAATCAAAAACAAAATTTCAACAGAAAACAGTTACGTTATTTTAAACCCAGATGTTTAAGATACAACTGTAAAGCTTAACAAATAACAAAACAAGAATGAAAATTAGGCTAACAGCATACATAAATACTTTGTGGTATACCTGACTGCTGAACATTAGAAATGTGTTAAAATTACCAATGAAGGCAGACATGGTGGCTCATGCCTGTAATCCCAGCACTCTAGGAGGCTGAGGCAGGAGAATCAAAAGTTTGAGCCTAGCCTGGGCAATTTAGTGAAACTGGATTGTAAAATAAAACATACAGCTGTGCCTGCCTTGGAAGCACAAGGTCCTGAGTTCAATCCCCGTTACTCACCCACCTCCCCCCCGCACAAAAAGAGAAAGAAACCAAAACACCAAACAGCAACAACAACAAAAACATGAAAAAGGGTTGCGATGTAGCTCGGTGTAATAAATAAATAAATAATCACCAAGGAGGTAACCATGTGATTTTTAAAATATTATATCTTTTGTGGCTGTCCTCACTGAAGTGACCTGAGGTGATGTCACTTCAATTGAAAAAACTGAATGTCCTTACCCTCTAACCCAATAGTTTTGTGTGAATGCACGAGTTAGCCTAGGGCCAGGGATGTAGCTCAGTGGTTCTGCTGCCTGCCTCACAAGCACAAAGACTTGAGTTCAATCCCTGGTACCAAAAATAAAAAAAAAAAAGTTTTAGCCTATAAAAACTTAGAATTTGTAGCAATATTTTTAAGTCACAACAGCAAAACATATTTTCCTTCTAACAGTAAAGTTGTCAACTTGATTGGCTTCAAAATCGCCAAGGGTATGGGGTTTTTCTGTTTACTTTTTTTTGTTTTTTTGTTTTGTTTTTTGAGACAGGGTCTCACTATATAGTTGAGACTGACCTGGAACTCACTATGTAGCCCAGGCTGGTCTTCAATTTGCAGTGATCCTCCTGCCTCAGCCTCCCAAGTGCTGGGATTACAGGCGTGCGCCACCACGCCCAGCTGCCAAAGGTATGAATAGAGGGTATTTCTGGATGTGTCTGAGTCGGAGAGAGAGGTATGATCTTGGGTATTCCACCCGGTCCCTGACCCCTTCGTCTTGGACACTAACCCTCTGTTCTGCTTCCCGACTGACACAAACTAAGCAGCTCTGCTCCATCACACCCTCTGCCATGATGTTCCTGCTTTGTAGCCAGTTAACTGTGGACTGAAATCTCTGAAACCAGGAGCCAAATGAACCTCTCCACCCTGAAGCTGTGGGTGTCAGGCATTTTGTCCAGCACTGGGAAAGTTGCCCAGTCAATCTCTTAGAGTAACTGGTACTATAGAATGAGATACCATCACAACATCGGAAGCTACCTATTTGTAAAACATCTATGTATTATGAAACTTAATCTGAAAAAAAAATATCAGTAAAGAACACTCTACTTGTCAGATTGATGGTCTGAATGCAACATGCAGGATTAAAGGCGCAAAGTCAAAACCACACCAGGAGCAACAGAGCTCTCACATGCAGCTGGTGGGAGCACAAGCTGGTTTAGCCATTTTGGAAAACTGCTCATAGCAACTAAAGCTGGACACAAAATTCTCTTTCAACAGTGCTACTGCAGGATCCTCACCACAGATATTTACATTTGTGGTCTATTTCAAGACTCGTACAAAAATGTCCATTGCACTTTTGACCATAATAACCTAAAACTGAACTAGAAACTTCCCAAGAGAACTAGATTAATTGACATGCTTCCACACAATGGAGTATTATTCAACAATAAAGGAATGAACTAGGCCTGTGAGTATAGCGTAGAGGCAGAGCACATGTTTAGCTTGTGCAAGACCCTGGGTTCAAATCCCATCAACAAAATAAATAAATAGATTCATTAAAAAGAAATAAATAGAAGGGCTGGGGATTTAGTTTAGTGGTTCCACTGCCTGCTTTGCAAGTGCAAGGTCTTGAGTTTGATCTCTGGTACAAAAAAAAAAAAAAAAAAAAGGAAAAAAAGAGAAGGCCCAGGAATTTAGCTCAGTGGTTTTGACGCCTGCCTTGCAGACACAGGGACCTGAGTTTGATACCCAGTACCAAAAAAGGAAGAAAGAAATAGAAATAAACTTATATCTATGCTACAATGTGGCTAAATCTCCGAGACATTTCCAATGAAAATTAACATACTGTATAATTTCAATGAAGTCCTAGAACAGGTAAAACTAATCTACAGTGACAGAATCCCAATAGGAAGAGGAAGAGAGACACCAATTGAGATAGGACAGGAAGGAGCCATCTAAAATAGAGGTCAGCAAGCGTTCTCTTTAATGAACCAAACAGTATATGTTTAGGTCTTGTGGGCCTTTGGATGTTTGCAACAAACTACTCAGTTCCATCAGTTGAGACCAAAAGTAGCCACAGACAATTATATGCAAATAATTAAGTATGGCCGTGTTAGGAAACTTTCATTACAAGCCAGGCATGATGGGTCCCACTTGGGACACTCAGGGAGGGATTGCAAAAATCCCAGCATGGGCAGCTTAGTGAGAATCTGCCTCAAAATAAAAAATAGCTCAGTGGTAGAGCATTTGCCTTGTATGCATGTGGTACTCCAGTACAACAAAACAAAACAAAAACGAATAAACAGAGGCACCATGAAATAGCAGGCCAGATGTGGTTCACAGATTGTAGTTTGCCAACCCTAGTTCTAAAATGATGGAAATGTTGATTCAAGTCGTGGCTATAAGAGCATATATATAATTTTAAAAATTCATCAAGTTGTATATTTAAGATGTGTACTCTTTTGCTCTATGTATTTTATAACTCAGTAAAAGAGAAAGGAAATGAAAAAGGAAAAGAGAAGATACAACAAAATAAAACCTACATCTATGTTCCACCAGCACTGACTCCAGGACAAGGAAACCATCTCAGCAAAGGTGGATAACAAGTGCTTTTCTCCTGATTAGGATTCTTGAGGTGTGATCCTAATGGTTGACAGTTCAAACTTCATCAATCCCACAGCTGATTCCCACTAGATCCAGGCTTTGCTCATTGAGAAATATTCTATGATGACAACCTTTAAAAACAGCAACTGCCAGCGGAGATCCCAGCTACTTCTGAAGCTGAGGCAGGAGGATCACTTAAGTCCAAGTTTTAGGCCAACCTTGGCAACATAGTGAGAACTTGTCTAAAATAAACAAATGCAAAAATGAAACAAAAATATAGAGCAAAAACATTAGTATCTCTTCTCTGCTGAAAGAAACGTCGTTTTCCTATGGAATGAAGTTTCTTTTGAGACCAGTGATATTCACACCATTCACGGAGTTTCTCTCTTACACAGTTGGCGAGTTCTGAGTTCTAAGAAAAGTTACCATTAGATGTTGAGAAATATAGTCACTGCTGGGATAGTAGGAATTATTTAATCATATGCTTTTTTTTTTTTTTTTTGGTACCAGGGATCAAACTCGGAACCTGTGCTTGCAAAGCACATTAAAAAGGCTTATTCCAACTATTACATGAGTATCAAAGTATCCTTCAGTATTAATCTTGCCTTTATAGTGTGCTCAACACTGAAAGTAAAATTTCTGTAACATAATCATCTTTCATCTGAGCTAATTAATACCTATCATAAGAAAATAACTGAAGATAAATTTTCATAGCAAAACAGCTTAGACACATTATGGGCTAATAACAGCTAGTTTGTTAGCCCAAATTACTTCAGCAAGAAGGCTATCTTCATCCACTAAATGAAAATTTTAAATTATATATAATATCTTAATTATATACAACATCTCATGTTGATAAATGATTGTTTGCTTTATATATTTAAACAGGGTTCATGAGGGGCTGCTCTAATCATATTACTAAGAAAAAATAAGATTTTCTGAAAGGAAATTATAGAAAGAGTTCATCCAAATATGTGAAAGAATGTGACTGAAATTGAGTTTCTCCTTTAAAAGACAGTAAATACCTTCCAATTACTATAGTAATTACTAGAAAACACTAGTTACAATAATTTTTAGAACAAATTATTTAAAAATTACATATATTTACCTACCTTTGTTTCATAAAGTCATTTCTCATTAATGTAACAAATCATCTTTTGAAAAAGAGAAGTTAGGTATGAATATTGAATAATGTATAACAGTAGAGTGCTAAAAGATTTTGTTTTATTTTTCTCTTAGTAGGTGACAAATATCTTTTATAATTGTTTCAAACACACTGAAATACTGTACAGTCCATCAAGCACAAGTCATAAAAGCATGATAATGTGAAAGTGGCATTTAATTCGTCAAATCAGTCATAGGAAAGACTGAGAAGTGAGCTGACCATACCTTTAAACTTTTTTTTCTGACTGAGGTATAATTTACTTATAACTGAGTCACCCTAAGTGGGTTTGATGAGTTTTTGTAAGTGTATACAGCCATGTAACCATCACAATCAGGATATGGATCATGTATTTCCATCACTCCAGAGAGATCCCTTGTGCCTTTGCTAAGGAATACTCTGTTCACAAGGTAGACTAATAAACATGTCATAATGGTGTTCACGTTATGATGAACAACTTAGGGTTCCCATTGTTTCTACCACAGAAATAAAAATGATTTCCAAAAAGTTAAATGAAATTCAGATAACTATTTGCTTAAATAATGTATCAGGCAAGATATTCCATTAGGTTGAAAAGTAAGTTATCTGGGTAGTAGGTACATGATAATAGACATATGGATAAATTCATTAAACTAAATGCTATTTTCTATACAAGTTATAAATGAATTTTAAAAATAAAAAAATCATAATTCCGTTATTTAAAATATACATATGTAGAAAAACTTCTGGTATAAAATACGATAAGATGCTTACAGTGGTTTGATTTAGGTGGCAGAGTATTTCTTATTCTAATCCCTGATTATAACACATGCATACACACACACCCCCTGCATTATTTACAAATTTGTTGTCCAGATATCCTTGTGTGTTTTTTTGTTTGTTTTGTGTTTGTTTGTTTGGTGGTATTTGGAATGAACCTGGGGCCTCTGCACTGAGCTACATGCCCATCCTTTTTTGATTTTAAATTTTGAGACAAGGCCTCACTAAGTCACTATGCTGCCCAGGCTACGATCAAAATTGTAGCCCTCCTGCTTTAGCCGCCCAGACAGCTGGGATTACTCATGTGCGCCACCTTGCCCAGCTCGTTATGCTGTCTTTTTTCATCATGAGAGAATCCACACCGTCCCTGCAGGCTGGCACAATCAATCCTACTCTCTTGTCTGAGAGAATCCACTCCTGCCTCACTTTACTGGGCTTGGTTACCTACCTTTGCCTGGCCTCCTTGACTTCGGGGTTCCAGTGGAATGAAAGTATAGTCAAATGTACAGGTCTGGGAGACCAAAGGCCTGTGTTCTGGCTCTGTGACCATCTAGATCTGTCCCTGGCAAGGAAATCACTTCTTTCATGTTTAAATGAGATGGGGCATGAACAAAGACTAAAAACTACTGGTGAAAATTTGGTGAGAAATAGTTACATAGTACCTAGATACCCTCCGGAAGATATTAATAATTATAAAAGGAAAAATGTTACCTTTATGCTGGGTAAACTTCAAAGTCATTATCTTAATCAAATGATCACTCACTGAACATCACCAGGAAGGAGGGAGATACATGACTGTCTGGGCCTCTTGATGTGACACACGGCAGAGGACACAAAATCCCTCCTGTGACATCCCTGTCACCAGAAGCACACTTGAATGTAGTCAGAAGGAAACATCAGACAAACCCATATGGAGCAACACGATACAAACTAACTGACCTATTAAATAACTGGACCTTCAAAACTGGCAACTTCATGAGAGACAAAGATGCCTAACCACTCCTGATTAAAGAAGATTCATGGATGTCTCAACAAGAAGCACCATGTGATCCTTGGTTGGATCCTGGAACAGAAAAAGAAAAGTTGCTATAAAATAACATTATTAGTTGACATCTGAATATAGATGGGATTAGACAGTAATATTAAACATGTTAATTGCTTGATTTTAAAAACCGCTTCGCTATATAGGAAAATATTCTCATTCTTGGGAACCACACACTAGGGGTAAAGGAGCATTGTATCTGCAACCTAGTCTCAACTATTTGAGAAAAAAGGGTAAAAATGATATATATTTATAGTAAAACAATCACATCTATCACCCAGAGAACACACGCATACACCATGTGCAAACACAGCTCTATCTAGGGGAACATAGGTAAAGGATAAATAGGAGATCACAGTAATATTGTTAGAAATTTTCTGAGTAAGAGGTTTTTTGAAATCTATAGACATAATAGGTCCATAGAGCTTGTTGCCACTACCATTCTGAGAATTTAGGGGCTTTTCTACTCCTGGGTCATGATGGGATGAATTTCTCATTTTTCCAGCGGTCAAGTGAAGTGGCAAAAATGACAGGGGAGCAGATAAGCCTAGAAAGGACCAGCAAGAGTAAGGCAGTAGGTTGGCCACATCCTATCCTGCAAGATGGTTGAAGGCACTGAGTCAGAGACAGATGTCGCCCCCTTACCCCGAAAGAACATGCTTACCACAGCTGCACTGAGACTGTGTCCTCCTTTGCCTCTCCTTTTACTGTCACCCTGGATCTGGGGCCCAACTCTTCTCCCATCATTTAGCCATGGAGAATCCCTTGGAGGGAGTAACATCCTCAAGTTAGGAGTTGCTCAGCTTCTAGCTCAAGGATGCTGCTGCTGCTTCTTACCTGGCAGTCTACTCTGAAAGGAGACTGGGACCTGGATGAAATTCACCCAGGGTTTTTCACACAAGAATTCTTATCCCAAGTTTCCTGCTTCTAGACCAGAGGGGGTCTTTTACCTGGCCTGTTAAGCCCTCAGAGTCCCATCTCTCACTAGTTTCTTTCAGCTTCAGCCCCTGGCGGGACCTTCTAGAGATGTGACAAAGTTCTTGCAGCCCTGAGGAGCTAGAGAACCCTACTGTCTAGCAAAGTGACAGGATCCAAAGGTCTGCAGGTTACCTGAAGATACACAGATCCATAATTAGTATCATCCGACTGGCCCTCCCAGATACGACTGGGTACGCAGTAGTGGGGTATGCAAGAGGCCTCTGTAGAAGACACCACTGCTCTGAGTTCAAGGTAGGAGAATCTTCTGGAAATACTCTGATCCTGGGAGTGACAGACACAAGTCTGAAGCCAAGCCAGTCCTTCTGATTGAGAGAATCTCAGTCAGATGTTTACCTCTCTAAGCCTTTTTCCTTGAGTATGAAAATAGGAAGATGCTATCAGAGACTCAGGAGCTGGACAGCCTGGGTTCAAATGCAGGCTCTACCACTAGTCTGTAACATCATATGTGTTATGTTCACTCTCAGTGTCCTGGTTACCACGTCATTTATTTTATTTTGCCATTCTTTGACCTATAAAGAGGAAAAAGTATACTTTCTTCATATATAATATATATATGTATGTATATTCTTTTATGCTATTAACCCATGTTTCTACTGAAGCATTCTTTTTTTTGTACCGGGGATCGAACTTGGGACCTTACACTTGTGAGGCAGGCAGCGGCACCACTGAGCTAAGTCACCAGCTAAAGTATTCATTTTTAAAAATGTATAAGTGCTTTTTACATGTGAGGCTATTGGACATAATATGTTGTAAACATATTTTTATCATTTGCCATTTTACCTTAAACTGGGCTTACAAATTTTCAAAAATTAAACAGATCATTTTGGGTTTTTAAAATAGCCAACTTGTTAATTTTCCCTCTTGGACTTTCTGCTTTTGGTAGCTGTTATAAGTCATAACTAGGTCCCCCCAAAGCCTCATGAGCTCACAGGTGGGGCTTAGGGAGGTGGGATCATGGGCATGTGATACTGGGATTAAGGGTTTATAGGACTGGATTAGTCCACTGATTGGTTTAGCATAGTTCTGGGTGTGGATAATAGTCCTACCCTGTCTGTGAGTAGCATCAACTGACAGGCTCATAGCCTGGATGGAAAATAAGGGGAAAAGAAGGAAGGCAGGCTTGCTGCTCATTGCTGCTTTCTACCTACCCTGCTATGGATTGTTTCTCCTTTGCCATGCCCCTCTGTCATGCCAACCTGCCTCAGAGCCAGCTGACCGTGTCCTGAAACCTCTGTAAACTGTGAGATGAAATAAACCTTTCCTACTTGAACTTGTGGGTATCAGGTATTTTGTCTCAGCAACAAGAAAAGTAACTAAGACAGTACCATTCTTAGGAAAGTTCTTTTCACAGATTATAAAAATATTGGCCTTTTTGGCTTAAGAGATTGGCTCAGATAGATAACATCTCTTGTACTGACAGTGGGAAAGTAAAATCAAACTATCTAGAGGTCATTTATAACACCATTTTAAGAATGTGCATCTTAGGGCCAGGGATGTAGCTCAGTGGCACTGTGCCTGCCTCACAAGCACAAGGTCCTGAGTTTGATCCCCAGTACCCCCCCAAAAAAGAGTATACATCTTGTAAACTACTCTTTAACATCCAGTAACATATCCTAAAGAACTAATTGGTCTAACAGAAAAAAAAATGAAGGTACAAGAACGTTCATCTTAGTTTTTGTTATAAAAGCAAAACAACTGGAAGCAAGAAAATACTACAGTAATTAAAGGATGGGCTCACTTATAATGGTAAGCCACAGAATGGAACACAAGGTAGACATTACAAAAAGTGACAGAAGCTGGGCACACTGGTTGGCACTATAATATCCAGCACTCTGGGATGCTGAGGCAGGAAGATGTGAGATTGAGCCCAGCCTGGATAACTCAGCAACTTAGCAAGACTCTGTCTCAAAAGGGGGCTGCAGGGGCCACAATGCAGATGAACGTGGAGGTCCTGGGTTCAATTCCTCCTACCACACACATACACCAAAACACAGAAAAAAATAATTGAGAAGTATCCTCGCTGACTTAGAAGAGTATTTGTGATTCATATTGAAGTAGGAAAGTGGGTTTTAACATATAATGTGAAAGCATGATTCCATTCATAAAATTATGTAAATCTAAATTTATTAAAATATCGTTACTTTTTTTGAGAAAAAGAAATGGAAGGAATTTCATTTTTTGATGTTTTACTTTTTGACTTTACCAATACCCTCATGATTATGTGTTTACTAAAGTATGAGTAATAGTGACAACAACAAAATGATAAATCAAAATAATCATAGTTTCATACAGGAATGCTAATGGTGCTTGGGAAAGAACAAACATGAAACTATGACACATCGCAGAAACTGAGAAGACAGAAATGGGGCAAAAATCGTTTAGTTGTATTTATCGAGCCTTGACCTCAAGTCGAGCACTACACTGTTATTTCCACATATTGGTTCGTTCCATTCTCACCTTGCTCGCTGAGCCAAGAACTACTCCCATTACAGATTAGACCTAGTACCCAGAAAGGTGAAGCTACTAGGACAGAGCAGCACTGAGGCTCAGACCCACTTACCCTGGCTGTACGTAAGGCTTATGTTTATAACTTCTCAGTCTTGCCATCGCCCAAAATGAAGGTAGTGTTTGTCTTCTAAAGAATGATACAACATTTCATAGGCACAGTGAATAGAACTAAAATCACCTCTGGCTATAGGTACAAGCTCAACTATGAGGGAAGGAAATAGTAATTGGATGTATATATTGAAACCATGGAGAATTCTTTTTTAAATTTTCTTTAACAATGAGGTAGAATTAGGCTAGTAATTTTTCTTTTTTAATAAAAAATTGATTATTTATTTATTTACTTATTTATTTGGTACCGGGGATTGATCTCGGGTCTTTGTGCTTGCAAGGCAGGCGGTGGAAGCATTGAGCTCAATCCCCAGCCCAAATTGATTATTTTTTAAACCAGCACTACCCATTTGCCAACAACCTACAATGTCACAATGCCACCTGATCTAAGTATGAAAATGTGAAAAACAAAGTTCCTTTTACTTTTCAGGCCTGATTCCTCCTTACAACTGAGCAATGATGGGGAAAATCCGGTTAAGGACAATACCAATCATGATCTTTCTTGGTAAAGTGTCAATCTTGGGCAAGGTATGATGGTGATTGCCTCTAATCCCAGCACTCTGCGAGGCTGAGACAGGAAAATCACAAGTTGAAGCAAAGTTCAGGTAACCTGGCTATTTAGCAAGACCTTTCCTCAAAATAAAAAACTAAAAAGGGCCAGAGATGTAGCTCAGTGAGGTGGCCCTGGATTCACTCTTCAGTACCAAAGGGTGAGGGGTGAGTTGACCTTGAAATCTTGGTAAGCAGTAGTACCAAGCAATTAGTCATTCAATCAGCATCACGGCAGTCATCAGTTGCATAATTGTGATTCACAACACTGTAATCATCAACTCAAAAGCCACATGTTGCCATACTCTAGATATTATGGTCTCAATGTTCTCTTTCACAAATATTATTACCATAGTCATTATCCGTGGTGCTGGGAATTGAACATGGGGCCTCACACATGTTAAGCATGTGCTCTACCACTGAGATACATCCCTAGTTCCATAGTCACAAATTTAAAAGCATATCACAAATCTCTCCTTGCCAACATGAAACTCAATATCTTCTTCCTCATTTTATTCTTCCTCTTGGATCACAACCTCTGTCTCTTTTAAAATTTCGTCTGGCATATTATCTCTCATTATTTGTTTTTTGCAAAAATAAAAAAAGTCCTGACTATCCTTCATGTTTCATCTTCAATACTAACTGTAGAATGTTTCTGTTATAATTTGAAAAAAATTCCTTAATAGATATTTCTCCTCCAAACTACCCACTGATAAGAGGCTACCATAACGTGTCAACTTCATAACAGGACACTAAACCCAAAATCCTCAAGATCTACTTCACTGTTCATGTTTTTAGCTTTCAGAGGAAGTAACAGAAAACAGGCCGTATCAGGTATGTTTGGGCTTTGGATTATTTGCTGTACATGATTTCCTTCAGTAATATAAAATTCAATATATATTGAATTTATGATTCAATTCAAATTCAAAAACAGACAAAACAACCCAACAATCCCATTACTGAGTATATAGCCAAAGGAAATGAAATCAGTGAGTCAAAGAGTAATCTGTACACCATATTTACACAGCAGCACTATTCACAAGAGCCAAGATTTGGAATCAACAGATGTCCAAGAACAGATGAGCGGATAAAGAAAATATACAAAGGAATAAGAGTCAGTTTTAACAAGGGATGAAATCCTGCCATTTACAACAAAATGGATGAACCTGAAGGACATTTATGTTAAGGAAAATAAACCAGACACACAAGACAAATACTATATGATCTCATACATATAAAGAATCCAAAAAAGTTGATGTCATAGAAAGAGAGAATAGAATAGTGGATAACAGAGTCTGGGGAGGGGTAAGAAGACGGGAGAAAGGACAGTTGATCAATGGGTACAAAGTTACAAGTAGACAAGAGACAGAAGTTTAGTTGGGTCTGGGGATTTAGTTCAGTGGTTCTACTGCCTGCCTCGCAAGTGCAAGGACCCAAGTTCAATCCCTGGTATCAAAAAAAAAAAAAAAGTTCTGCTGTACTATTGCATAGGTGGGTAAATATAGTTAACAAACAACTTATTATGCATATCAAAATTCCTAGAGGACACATTGAAAGCTCTTTACCACAAAGAAATGATAAGTATTTGAGGTGATAGGTAATTACCCTGATTTGATTATTACATAATACATATGTATTGAAACATCACATTGTATCTCATAAATATATACAATTCTTATGTGTTGGTTACAGAATAATTTTAAAATATGGGCATGGAGGCACAGGCCTATAATCCTAGCACTGAGGAGGCTGAGGCAGGTAGACTGCTGTTTGAGGCCAACCTGAGCTACCTAGTGAGCTCAAGGCCAAAGTGAACTTCATAGTGAGACCCTGCCTCACAAACCAAAATAACAACAATAATAATTTTTAAAATATACAAAACTATTTCACTGCACAGTATTAGTCCCAGGTACCTCTAGAGTGGCAGTGGGTACTACCTAGTAAAGAAGCCTTCAGAACCCGGGATTTAGCTCAGTGGTTTTGCTGCCTGCCTCGCAAGCACAAGGTCTTGAATTCAATCCCTGGTACCAAAAATTAATTAATTAATTAATTAATTTTTAAAAAGAAGGCTTCGAGTTGGTAAAAATGATATACATCCTGATAATGGTTCTGGTTACTTGATTCTGTAGTATAAAAATTCCTGGGCTGGGGATTTAGCTCAGTGGTTCTGCTGCCTGCCTCACAAGCACAAGGACCAGAGTTCGATCCCCAGTACCAAAAAAAAAAAAAAAAAAAAAAAAAAAAATCCTGTACCCTTAAAATAAGCACATTTAACTATTTGTATATATCAACTTTTAAAAAATATTTAATAATCTGTCAGAATGTATGTTTTAAAAATAAAATAAAATACTCTTAATTGAAACTCTAAAAATTTTGTTCAAACAGACCCACATTTTTCCTTTATCCTTCCTGTGCCCTGCCTCCATGAATGTTCCTTTATACTAGAATTCAAAAACAGGCAAGATCAAGGCAGTTGTAGTGGTGCACACATGTAATTCCAGCACTAGGGAGGCTCAGGCAAAAGGATCACCACTGAGTTCGAGGCTGGCCTGGACTACATAGTGAGTTCAAGTCCAACCTGAACTACATAGTGAGATACTGTCCAATACAAATTTTTAATAAAATAAAATAGCCAATCTGTGATAGTAGAAGTTGGGAGGACATTTCCCCTTGGCAGGGTGACTGGAAGGGCATACCACAGGGGCTTTCAGGGTGCTACAAATGCTATTTTCTGATCTGAGTGCATTGTCCACATTGAGCTGTGTGTATATGTGTGTTTTTTGCACGCACCTTAAATCTCAAAGGTTTTATAAGGACCTGACTTATGGAGGTCAGACACACCTAAAAAACACAGGACAAGCCAGGTGTAGTATGCAAATCTATGATCCCAGTACTCTGGAAGGATAAGGCAGGAGAATCACAAGTACAAGCCCAGCCTGGGTAATTTACTGACTTAACAAGACCCTATTTCAAAATAAAAAAATTTAAAGCAGCTGGGGATGTAGCTCAGGGCAAAGGTCCCTGGTTTAACTCCCCAGTACCACAAAACAAAACAGGATAAGGCAATAGCTCTTAGAACACAATGATTTCCAGATTTAGTTTCTTTTCCTTTGATAATTTATTTTTTAAGTTTAGCTGAAATAAAAATATCTTCCAAACTCAATTTGTTTTTTCAGTCAAATCTTACAGCTTAGATACTTACTCAGTAAACTTTCTATTTTCTAAACATAGGTAAGGTCACACCAACACTGGTTGCCATGGAGTAAGAAACTAAGTTCACTCTTGGGATGAGGTCACAGATGGGTATGTCACTGCCTTTGTCAGAAAGAACCCTGAAGGAAATATGAGAAGAAATTAGATTCCTGACAAGAGCAAAAGAAGCTACATCTTTAATAACATGTTACTCTAATAAGTTTAATATTTGATCCTTTGAAATTATTTTCATTATTGTGGGGAACTATTTTAAAAAGAGGGAGTTTCCAAAGAGTTTTGAGGTGGCTCTTGGTCAAAGGGGACTGGATGGCACTGGCTTCTCAGCTGAGGAGTGTCACATCAATGAAATGCTTATCCATTATATGGGCTTCTGGCCTTAGATCCTGGATTCACCTGTGCTCAGCCTCTGAATTTCACAAGCCTCCTCAACAGCAACTCCCATAAGCCTCGTAATGACGGACATACATGGTGTCTCCAACCACAGTCCCCCAAATCTCCAAAGTCCAGAATTTCTTATAGTCACCCATATCCAGCTATGTCCAAATCTAAGCGCAGAAAAAAAACGGTCATTGACTACAAAGTTCACTGACATGATCTAACTGCCAAACAGCAAATTAGACAGATCTGTCAATGAACCTGCGCTGATCTCCAGGGATATTCCAATGACTATAGTTGGTCGCACAGTTCCACCTGTTCCCACACTGACAGCCCTAATCACGGACCCGCTCTGATCTCTCCATACCCCATTCCCTGATCTACAAAAAAGTTCAATCATGAATACCTTGGGATCCCCCTTAATGATCTAAGGAAGTTTAGGTCATTAATGTCCCAAAGCACGTCTTCACACATTGACCCCCACTGACCCTCTCATCATGGAACCCCAAAGTTTCCACAATCATCAATTACAGTAACCATGGTATTACTGCCCACAAAACTTACAACTTCCAATCACTGACCCTTTCAGGCTTTCGATCACTGAACCTCAACGAGCTCAGAGTGCCTTCGAAAAATCCCACTTGGCCTCATACCCATGAAGAATATAGTTGACTATCAGCACCCCGCCAATCAAGATATTTCACAGAATCCTCGTTTATTAATTCCAAGACATTCCCAACCTGTCTTCACATAGTCCCTAATACTAATTATCACAAACCTCCGTCCGCCGTCACCGAGCGCCAAGGAAGCTCAGGAGCCAAACCAGTTAACACTTCAAATCCCTTGCCTTGACCTTTACGGGTACCCATAGCTGACTCAGTCAGGCCACCGTAGCCCCCCCATCACCATCCTGCACAGATTAAAACTATACTTTCTGTAATCATTCCCGTTTACCCAGGATCAGTGACTCTAATCCGAAATTGATCTGATTATCAAGTTGCCTTATCGTAGTAAAGCTCTTCCCAGCCCGAGGTGCCGGCGCGCAGACTCAGTCGCGACTTTGAGGCTGTCGGCCTCCACCAGACAGCCTTTCAGAGAATAGGATTCTGGGGTTTCAGAATTTCAATAGGAGGTATGATGGCCGCGCCCGTTAGATGCTCACTTGATGGGAGCAGCCATGTTTAAAACTTTACAGTACAAGAAACGACCAAATCCTTTGCTACACCAAGGGGAAATTAGTTATCTTAAGGCGGGGTGAAGCAAGTGCCCCCCAAGAATTATAAACACAGTTGTTGCTGCTTTTAGCGCCTCAGACAACAAAACTTCGTGCGACCCATGTGCAGGATTCGACACTGAGATTTCTTTGTCTCCAGAAGCCCAAGCAGTGAAGATGGTCATATGAGTTTGTATGGCTTCTTACGCGCAACGGGCGTGGCCATCTCGTAAGAGGAGCTCCGATATGGCAAGAGGAAAATTTTCAGAGGCAGAACGAGGAGTTGAGAGCAGTGATGTGACTGACGCTTAAGATCTGAAGCTGCTCGAAGACAGGCTCTGCTTTATGAGAGGGCGGAGCCGCGAGGAAGGGGATGGGCAGGAGGGACCAGGCTGGACAGTTCTCAGCCTTTAACTGAAAATATGTTGAAACCGGGTCATTATCTTAAGTGCCTGGCCCGAGAATCCGACCTGAGACAAAAATATGAATACAGTTTACCTGGCAGGTGAAACGGGAAGGATGGAAATCAATAGAGAGCACCAATGAGCAAATAACTCTGTGAGCAATAGGAGCTCAGTCTTCTTGAGAACTCTGGGAGACTGCATAGAAATCACCTCCGCTGTCCCTCCGAAAGCCTAATGAAGCTGACTTAAGTATGCGCCATCGCCTGTCACTTATTGTTCAAGGGCCTCTCTTCGGGCGTTAAAGCCCAGCCCGGTCTCGGATAATCTTGTAAGTGCATATAGTGATGTGCCAGCAGTCTGAAGAGGGAATTATGAGTGTTCAGGGGAAGTGTCAGGGTTCCGACAGCATTCACTGGAGTCCTGCCTTGAATTCCCCCTATGGACACTTATCCTATTCCACAGGAAGCCTCCATAAACAACTTTTTCAGGGACAATGAGCTGCAAACTGTCACAAATCACCAGCCATACAACGCAACAGAATCACAAGAGTAGGATTCAATAGAAACAATAGATACTATAAGGAAATGAGTTTTTTCATCATTGGGCATTTTTCCCCCTATTATTGGGGAGTGTTCTATCACTGCACTACATATCTAGCCTTTATTTATTTATAAAAATTTGAGACAAGGCCTTGCTAACTTGTTCAGGCAAAATACAAAAATGTGATCCTTTTACTTTAGTCTCGCTTAGTGCTAATACTACAGACATGTACCACCTCACTCAGCTACCATAAGTAGATTCTAAACAGAATAGCTTTGAACTAGAGATGTTGCTTGCTTTGGGTTCAAGGCTAGAGGAGTCTTATGGTAGCCTTCATTCTACTGTTAGCTCACAACTCTGAATCTTCGAGCAATATGAGTTAACACATTGCAATGACAGCCTGGCTTGCTCAACATGATGAGTAGGTACATAATATAGTACCACTTATTTTCAATGAACCCTGTCCACCTCCAAAGTTTTTATAGTAGTAATAAATGCCTTCATGTGGATTACAGTTTGTTCTCTAATAGAGTTCCTCCAGCATGATTATGGAGGTACAGGTTGAAAACTGCTTTTTCTGTAGTTTTGTATAGGAAGGACAACGTGACCAGGTATGAAATCCTCGGCCCTGCTGATACTCTCAGTCCTTCAGATGTGTAAGTCTAGAGCCCCTCTCAGCTCATACAGTAGTAGACAACTAAATCCAGAGTCTCCGCACTGAGCTACATCCCCGTTCTAGTTAATTAATTAATTAACTTATTTATTTATTTATTTTGTGACAAGGTTTCACTGAGTTTCCCAGGCTGAGCTTAAATATGCAATCCTCCTAGCTCAGCCTTTCAGCGAGCTGGGATTACACAGACAGGCCACCATGCCCAGCTTCTTTGAAAATTTTAATTGCTTGTTTTCAATTTTACTTGCAAACAAAAATACAACGAAAAATGTTAAACTCCCCCCAAATCTGGATACTAATTATAACTGCTGTGATTACGTTAATTTAGATATACATCTTTTCTGTTTGTTTGTTTTTGGTACCGGGGATCTAACTCTAGGTATGCATCTTTTAATTTAGAGTTACCGTGTATCTTTTTTATCCCTCTATGGAATCTACTTACTTAATCATTGTCTCACCCCTTGCTTCTACTGTAACAGCCTCATTATGTTTCCTTTTTCCAGCTTCATTTCACCTTCCCTCTCTCTATTTTATTTTTTAAAAAACAGCAGCGATCGTAAGTACTGCTAGGAATTTAATATGGTTGCATCATCATATAACAGTTCTAAAAATCATCTCCCTTTAACATCCTTTCTGAACACATGAAGGATAGTAATTGACCTATCACAACTGTAGAAATTTAAGTTATGGCCAACAGGAAATTAAAAAAAAATTTTTTTGTAGGCCGGCCCCGATCCACCGCGTGAAGAACCACGCCTGCTCCCTACCCAGCCGCCATCCCTCAAGCACCAGGAAGGCAGCCACATGGGCGCCCGTGAACCCCCATAGCCCCCCCGCACTCTCAGACCTCCTGACTGTGCCAGTCTTTGGACCCACTCTGCAAAGACAGAGGTGGTCATCAAGGGTATTTTTCTGAGTTCCCAACTTTGAATATCTTTAAGGAAAGGGTGTGGGAAACCTGTAATAGAACATTGTGGAGTTCAACCATTCAGAAGGATGGGGAACTCAATCTGGGCCTTGCAGCCCAAGGTCAGTCAGTGTCATGGGGTTCAGCAATCAGCTAACTGAGATCAGGGGTCTTGCATCCTCGCTCTGTCT